CTGGTGTGTAGCCTGAGCGTATCTGTAGAGGCTTCTCCCAGGCATGGATGACTTGGTCCAGCCCAAGGCCAGGCTGGAGCAGAGGCTTGCTCCAGTCCTGACTGGCTGAGTCCCTTCAGAGGTGTGCACCAGGCTGGCAAGATCTCTTCTTCCAGCATGGGTGTGAGCTGAGAGCTTTGATGTTAGTACTGACTCTTCCTCGAAGTCGCTGTGGAGATGTGTGTAATTTAGTTCACTTTTTCTGTGAGCTAAAAGGACTTTTTATGGTTTTCCACTTTCTCCACCAAGTTCTTCTCTGCTTCTGGTGGAGCGTCCAAGTCTATAACATGCAGCTCCTGGTAGTTGCGCTGTTGTGACATGACTCTTGCACGTGTCCACTCAAGACAGCCACCAAGCTTGGAGAGCTAGTCAGACTCAAGGAAAGTCATCTGAAACCCAAAGTGCTCCTAGGTTTGTCCATCAGTGGTGGTGTGAACCCATACTGTTTCTGATGGCAGGTCCCTGTCCTCTGGGTCAAAGTGAGAGGGAGAGCCCTGCGAGTGCACAGTGTGGAGACAAACCCAAATACTTGTGGTTTAGATGCGTGGTGACGAGACTGCTCTCCCACGTGTTTCCAAGGAGAAGGGAGGAGCCAGGAGGGAGTTGAAAGGTGGTGTAGCTCTGAATGATGCAGCTGGCTGTTCAAAATAAATATGCAGAGAGCGCTTTGGAAGTGGTGAGCTGTGTTAAGGGAGAGTTTGGACTTCATGGAAAACGTTAAAAATTCAAAGCAGAGTTGTTGGCAAGTGATGGCCGTCAAAGCAGAAAAAAGGAATGAACAGAAGGCTGGCACGGGAAGCTGGGGGAGCAGGATGAGGATAATCATCTCTTGAGGGAAGTTAACGAGACACAGGAGAGGGTGAGCCTGAGAGGTGGGTTTCAGAGATGTGGCGCAGCTCTGTGGGTGCATGATGGCAGATGTCAAGGAGCAAACACACTCTGGATGAGCCCAGGGGTGAACCAGGAGGGGCTGAGGAGCAGGGTCCATCTCTGTTCACACCATTTTTTTCTCACCAGGAGCACAACGGTCAAAGCAACCCAAGAAAAAAACTCTTCAGAGTGAGAGACTTTGGAGGCCTGTGAGGAACACTGGAGTGTCCAAAGTTTGGGACTTTGCGGGGGGGCTTTGTGATTCCTGCGAGGAGTGCAGGGCTCCGGCTGTCTGCTCCCTGTCCCCGCAAACGGGTGTGCTGTAATTTATTCCTGAGCTGTTAACGGCATATTGGGAAAACAGAGATGAGATGTGCTGCTCCTTCCACCCTGAAGGATGTACGGCGAGCCACCAGTCCAGGCTGGGATTTTCCAAGGGTGATTCTTAAGGTGTCTGCAGCCAGAATGCCCCTTTCATAACTTTCTGATTCTGAAATTATTTCAAATTTGAACGGGAAATAACCTTAAAAGAGAAAAAGTGAAACTTCCCATCAAATGAAAGTTTGACTTCTGGGTTTGCAGGAGGAAATAATAATTGTTTCTCCAGCTGGATGCTCTCTCTGGGGTGTTTAGGGCAGGCCAGCCTAGCTTCTGTTTTCTTTTGGCCCCCCAGAAGCTGTGAGCTGGTGGGCAGCCCACATTGCAGGCAGTTCAGCCTGGCAGCATCCCTGCTAGCACTTGCTGTGCTCAGATAGCTCCCCAGTCCTGCAGCAAGGTTTCAAAACATGAAACTTTAAATTACTTTAGCCAGTGAATTTCAACACACTGCAAATATAAGCAATGCAGTTATTACTTTTTTTTTAACTTTTTTTTTTTTGGAACAATCTAAAAGAAAAGCAACCTTCAAACTTTCATTGGTTTCCTGAAAATGTTGTGGGTGTTGTTGTTGGGTTTTTTTTCATGTTGGCAATTGGGTGACCTATGAAATACCATAAGCAGCACAAAACGTTTATCCAGTGACAGCCTGAGGTAGCACAGGCAGCTCTTAGCAGGTTTATTTTCATTATTACAGCAATTTTAGGGCTGCATGCTGCAATTTTCACTTGCAGTGAGGTATTAAATTGAAATTACCCCAGATGTAATTGTCACACAAAATAATTCTGGACGTGCTGGATTTAATGCTTTTCCAAGCTGTGGTTTTTATTACCCAAGCAAGTGCCAAAAAAACACTTGTAGTCAACAACTTAAACTGAAATCTGCCTTCTGGGGAGCCAGGATGTTTAGCTGCAGTTACACTGGGGGAGGAAGGGAAAAAAAAAGGGACCAACTGAAGGAAACTTTGGGAGGGCTCCTGAAAGAAGGGTCCAGGTGTAAAATCCTGGGCAAGGGCAGAGTCAGGGCCACATAGGGACCCCGGAGGAGCCCTGGCAGGTGCAGCAGCTCAGCCTAACCCTTTGCAGGCTGATTTTGGGGAGACGAGTCCCACCTGCGGGGCAGCGCTGGTCACAGAGGCGAAGCGAGGCTGGGGGTGCTGCCGGGTCCCTGCCTGCCCCGTAGCAGCAGCGCAGTCATCAGTCCCATCTTTGGGATGCGAGGAGCCTCATTAGACAGAACTCGGGTTGAGTCGCAGAGCCAGTGACCAAGCTCTGGAGGTGCTCGTATATGACATTTCAGTGTTTCCCATATGCACATTGTCTAGTTAGGCTGATCTGGTGCATAGACATCTGGAGTTTTAAAAAGCAAGTTGTTGTCATGCACGAGGAGCCTTCATCACGTCGCTGACAGGCTCAGCCAGCGTGCGTATCCCCAGCACTCCCACTGGTGGGTGATACAGCATGCATCCATTGCAGCTTTATTTATTAGCTCCTTAACTATCGTAATAACATAAGTAAAGTATTGATGACTTTGTCTTTTTCACCCTCTTTCATTTTTTTTTCCAGAAATAGCTTCCCTTGTTTACTCCACTGAACCCCTTCTGATGCCGCGCTGGAAGTGGGTGGAAGAACACGCATCTGGGAACAGTTAGGAGATAATGGTGTATAAATAGCACAGGGAGACATAGTCTGTCCCTGCAGCTCTGCAAAGCAAGCGAGAGCTGAGCCTGAGCGTGGCAAAAAAGACACTGAGCAGCAGCAGCAGCTTCTTTCTCATCGTATCAGGTTGGGAAAGCTCAGCTGGAGTTGGTTACTAGATGATGCAAGGGGCCACAGTGACCCAGATGAGCAGCTCAGGGCATGACCTGGTGCTGTTTAGTAATTCAGAAACCCTCTGTTTTTAGCATCCCTGAGACGTAACTTTGATGAATGAGGGTGTTGTCGCGTGGGGCAATGTTACTGAATTTTCTCCTGCATGCGGAGTAGCTGTGCAACTTTGGCGTCCTTTGAAGATGGACCTAGAATTAGAAATGGTTCAGTGATGAATTTCTGGGGTTGGTGACTATGCTGAAAGAACCAGGTAGTAATGGGAAATCTGCTTTGGCCAAGTTGAGGCAGGATTTGAGAAAGGTTTTGAGTGAAACAATGAGAGAAAGCAGCAACCGATTTAGCGTGAGCTTGCACATATTTTGTCCCGCTCGAGATGTCCTTTTTTCCTTACCTCTGGAATTATTTCACCTGTTGTGCACTCTTTTTTCATTTCATTTAGTTCACTTTGTAAATAATCAGAAATGCAATTTCAAAATGAGAAGATGAAAAATCTCATTAAAAAGAGTATCTCGAGCATTTTGGTATTTCTGAGGTGCAACATGCTGTGCTGATAGCATAAACCAGCAATATCTGGCTACTCTTACTTACTTTCCCCTCTCCATCTCCAACTTAATTTTTCCATCTGTTTTGACTTTGCCTTGCAGATACTGTGGTCCAGAGCTTTGGGGGAGCAAACTGATGGTTTGTTGAAAGAGTGGTTGCTCAGTCCTCTTTCCTGCTTCATTTGAGGATGGTAGTGGCAGCACCTGGGCAGTGACACGAGCAGTTGAGTGGCACGTGGATGGGAAGGGACACGATGGCTGTGGTGGGGAGTTCCTCAGGCTGGGCACGGGGTGCCCTTCTGCCACTGGTGTGTCATCTTATGGCCATCACAGGGACTGACAGGGACCTGGAAAGGGCAGCAGGGATGTAAGAGGTATATCTGGATTTCCTGAGCTAGGAATATGTTGGCGTCGGTCTATAAAAGCCACAGATTTCATCAGCTAAAGGTCAAAGTAATTACAGAGTCTAGGATGTTTCCTCCTGGGAAGGAGGCAGCAGGGGCTGTGGTTGCAGTTGTGGGTTTTCACCTTCTGCAGGGTGGCTTGGAAAGTGTTAAATCCCAATCTTCCCTGTAGTCAGGTTATGCCATTAAGGCAGAATGAATGAGGAAACAATTTAGAAACAGGACTTGGCTTACCTTGCAGCCGGCTAGTGGAAATTGCTGCCTTGTGAGGTGGGAGCGAGGCCGCTCAGAGCTGGAGCTGCAGCAATGCTCTGACCTCTGCCAGGGTGGGTGCGAGAGTCCTTGGGCCCCTGCCTCACTGTAAGAAAGAAAAAAGCCTCACCACAATAACGCAGTACTCCTGGGATGACACCAAAAGCCCCGTGAAGCTCACAAAGCCACTGAGGCAGCATAAGACTTGCAGCTGGCCTTCTGCAAGCACCTCACCTGGGCCTTACCTTTGGCGTGAAGGACTCGTTTCTGATCCCATCATGCTAATGTCAGCGAGGAGTGTCTTTGCTGAAGCTGGCATTGCCCTAACTGGTATCAAAAGGGGGGCCTTTATCTTCCCACTGCCCGTTGGTGGGGGAGGCCAGTAGCACCAGGAGGGTGTGCTGGTTGGGAAGCAATGGTTAGAGAAAAGGGCTGCAAGCTGGGTGCCTCCTTTCTCATCCCTTCCTGTTAATGGCAGTTAAGCTCTTTTTGCTGCTTTAATCCTCACTGACTTACTTGGCAGTTTCTGAACTCCTTCAGAAAGCATTCACACAGCAAAGCTCTTCTTTTTTTTTTTTTTTTAATAGCAGCTGGAGGACCATCTACTGACGGACTCTGCTGCCTGTGTTAATGAATTGAGCTCCCACTTCGAATTCCAGTGCCTGAACGGCCTCTTTCTCCCTCTCCAGGTGTACGACTTTGCATTATCGCCAGGACCTCCCACCAACCAGCGTCATCATCACCTTCCACAATGAGGCCAGGTCGACCCTGCTAAGAACGATTCGGAGGTAAGAGCTCCTGGTTTGCTGGAAATGCTCTTATTTATAAACACTCTTAAAAAAGGATGAGTGGGCTAGAGATTTTCATGGATAAAGGCAGAATCTGTTTGCACTCACTGCAGCAATGGGACTGGACCTACCAACTACAGTCTCAAATGATTACCAGGAGAAATTAGCATGAAAGCTGGTCTCTGAGAAGTAGGTTTTACAGTGGGATGCTCAGGCAAGTAAGTAGCTGTGTTCCCTTTGCAGGGTCTATCACGGCACGCTCTTGGGGGAGCAGCAGAAGATTAGACAGAATCTGGGATAAGAGGCTTTATATCCAGCTGGGTGTCAGTGCTCAGCTGTATTTTGTCCCAGTCCTCTAGGGACAGCTATGATTCTGCAGATGTCTGCTCCAGTACTGCTGTTTGAGCTCCTCCAGTGACCCGCCGAGTGCCAGAAAGGCTTGCTAATTGAGAAGCCCTAATGGTGCACATGCAGACTATATTTTCAAGGATGGTTTCTGTACTCCTCTGGATACACGGTGGAGCGCTCTGGGCATGTGGCCATTCCTTCATTTGTCGGTTTGTTCTTGGCTGTGTTTTGCTGTAGGGGATAGACTAAAGGCTTCATTTTCATTGCAGGTTTTCGAAATCAGCGTTTAACCCCAATGTGTGCCTTGAATCTGCAAGTTCTCTTGTAGGAAGATTTAGTGACCGTTGAGAGGTCTATCTCCAGGTCTCAGCTGGTGGGTTTCTCTGTAGCGAGCTTGGGTGTGCTCAGCTCTGTGCCAGTAATAAGTGTTTTGCAGGTGTGTCTCATGCCTACATAGGGAAGGTTCGTGCCCTGCTGCAAGCCTTCTCAGTTAAACCCCGGCATGCCCAGGGACCCCTTGCCATCATCGGTACTGGTCAGACTGGGATTGCTGGTTGGGGGGAGGCTTCAGCTGTTCCTTGTTCACTGTTATGTCCTCACTGGTGTCTTCTCTGAAAACAGCAGCCTGAGGTGAACATATCCAGTGCCACAAGTGAGTTTGATAGTCCTAAAATTGAATTCCTGCTTTGCTTTATGGTTTCATGCCTGTCATGCTTTAACCCCAGACGGCAACTAAGCACAATGCAGCTGCTCACTCACTCCCACCGACCCAGTGGGATGGGGGAGAAAATGGGGGAAAAAAAAAGTAAAACTCGTGGGTTGAGATAAAGACAGTTTAATACGACAGAAAGGAAGAAAATAATAATAATAATGATGATGATAATAAAATGACAATAATAATAATAAAAGAATTGGAATATACAAAACAAGTGATGCACAGTACAGTTGCTCACCACTCGCTGACCGATGCCCAGTTAGTTCCTGAGCAGCGATCTGCCCCACTGCCTGGTTTATATACTGGGCATGACATCATATGGTATGGAATACCCCTTTGCCAGTTTGGGTCAGCTGCCCTGGCTGTGTCCCCTCCCAACTTCTTGTGCCCCTCCAGCCTTCTTGCTGGCTGGGCATGAGAAGCTGAAAAATCCTTGACTTAGTCTAAACACTACTTAGCAACAACTGAAAACATCAGTGTGTTATCAACATTCTTCTCCTACTAAATCCAAAATATTCCACTATATGAACTACTAGGAAGAAAATTAACTCTATCCCAGCCGAAACCAGGACAATGCCCGATCCCATCTCCTTTGCTTCACATTTAATAATCTGTCACTGCTTTCTCTCTCTAGGGTATGTGGATTTCGCATGTGCATAGCACTGGCACTTGATGCTGTGTACCACTTCCTCGATCCTGGGCCTTCTCTTATATCTTTACAGTGCCTTGCATAGGTTTACCATCCCCCAGAACCCATTGTAACAGAGATGGCAAGGGAAAACCAAGTGCAGTCCTCTAGCCCCTGAGATATAGGATGCTTATAACATGTAAAGTGCAGGGATGGACTTTAATGTCATTTCTCCCCATAACTCAGCACTTGACTGTCCTGGCAGGTATGATCATGAGTGATGTTGTCACATGAGAGATGTTAGACCCATGATACGGCTATTATGCCTGGGTCCTCCATATCTGGTTTCATTAGTGAACTGTTCATTGCAATGATGGCAAGGTTAGAAATACAGGTAGTTTGAATTTTTCCTTCTTCTTCTAGAATATTGTCCTCTGAAGTTTCCGATTTCCCATTATAAAAAGACTTTGTTCCTCTTCTTTTCTTTTCTTGACTTGATTAGTTGGCTTTACTGCCTTTCTTACCTGGTTGCGTGTGACTTCCACCACAGCTTTGTCCCTGTCCACTGCTCCTCCCCGCTCATGTGCCCCAGCAATTCCAGTGCTCGTGTTTTGTCTGTGGGGAGGTTTTCCCCAGCTCTGGGGCCCCTTCTGAGCCCTCTTTCCCGTAGGCTGATCTCCAAATGGTGCCAGAGCCCTGTGGAGCATCTCACTGAGCTGCACCGCAGAGGCAAGCCTGGGCAGTGAGGAACAGAGATGACAGCCTTGGGTCCCCATCTCCCCTGCCTCTCCCTGGGCTGAGATCCTGAGCTCTCCTGAGCTCACTCTCCGTTTTCTGGTCCCCACAGATTGGAGGTGGCCTCCTGGCATCAGGGTTCACTGTTTTCCTCCTGGATGCAGTACTTAGAGGCTTGCTTTGATCCAACTGGCCCTAAGGGTACCAACCCTCGGTCGGAAGTCACACTGGTGACGTGGCTCCTGCTCTGCTCCTCTCCAGCCATGATTGTGCACATATTGCCACCTCCCTGCCTGTTTTTTGACCCAGCTGAGAGCTCATCTGCCTCTTCAGCCTCTGTACGTTAATTTGGTGTGCCTTCTGACTGCTCTGGGGTTTTTTTGCCCTTGCTTGGCAAATGCTTAGTTTAATTAGATCTTCCAGATAACTCCATCCCAAGGTGGCTGTAACAACATGGATCATTTTCCATGGCCACTCAAAACAAACTCTGTTCTCCTGACACTGCTTTGTGCCTTTTGTAGCAGTCTGTGGCCAAGTGTCTCCAAGCGCTTTGAGCATGGTGGTGAGTAAAACGGGCACCTCTTCTACCCTGTTCTCCCCATTACATCTCCATGGTGCGCTCTTGGTATAACCCAGGTGACAGATGGACAGACTGAGGAACAGAGAGGTGATTTGTCTGGGGCTGGTGGAAGATTTTTGGGTTGCAAACCTGGTTTTCTGAGTTCCAGCAAGTTGGGTTTTCCAGCCTCATTGCAGAATGAATGTTCTCACTTAACCACCATGGCAGGAGCAAGAAACAGGGCAAAGGGACATTGCTTGGCTTGTCCAAAGCCATGGGTGGTGGGGCATTGTCCCCCCAAAGGGAGCGCTTCTTACAGGACCCCATGGAAACACGGAGGACTAGCAGAGGGAAATGCTGTTGAAGGCACCCTCTAGCAGGGGAGGAAATCAGCTCTTGCAGAAGGGACCGTGTACATGACAAGCAGGAGGGATTTTGCTATTCCTGCGCTTTTCCTAGATGCTTGAGAGCTTTAATGCTCACCGAGTGCTGAGGCTGAATTGTACTGCAGGCTCAGTGTGTTGCATGTGGCTCTTGGTGAGGCTGTGAGTGCTCTGACCCATGAAGCAGAGGTGCCAACACGTGGCCTCCGCAGCACCCCTTACGCAAGTCATGTTGCGAACATTTGGGACGGTTCGTTTATGAACAATTTGCGTCGTCAGAGCTATTGAGAAAAGCTAGTGGACTGTGTTGAATAATGAATTAATTTAAAAGTTTCATGATCTTTTCTCTGACTGTTTGCCAGCTGGAAGAAAAGGAGGGGGGAAAAGAAAGCTAAATTAATCGAATGCCCAAATCTCTGCAAATGATGTAGTCAGCATTTATAAATGCTTTATGTAACTATGCTTGTGAATATGTACAAGTGTCCAGGTAGCAGGGGTGGGTGCCATGAGAAAGGGAAATAGAAAAGGGGAGAAGAGGCCAGAAAGGAGCAAGTGGTGAACAGCAAAGTAGCTCTCGAGAAATTTTTTTTTTTTTTTTTACTGTGCAGACAGTGAAGAAACTACCATTGGGTTGTTGTTTCAGCCACTTGCTTCTCGAATTACCTTGGGCAACTTTCTTATCCCCCTGCGGTTTGGTTTCATGTTATTTCAAGCTCCAAGGCTCAGTGTATTAAAGATGGTGAGAGTCCCCAGCAGTACAGGGATGGGACCATGTGAGTAAACCCAAGGAGGGAAGGCAGGAGCAAGGGAGAGAATAAGCAATACAGAGGCATTTAAAAAAAAAAAAACCCAAACAATTTCTTTCCTCTCCTTCCATCCTGTGCTAGCCTGGATTTAGGAAGGGAATCCAGCTCATTACCCAGCTAGCTCTAGCTGCCCAGCTCCTCCGGCGGGAGAGCTTAAGGATGTCCCCAAGGCCATAGCAGTCACTGGAGGAGAAGGAGCAGCGTGGCCAGGAAAGATGCACTTCTCATCGCCTGGGGCTGGGCTGGGTGCTGGGATTCTTGACAGCGATGGGTGATAGTGCCTCCCCATCTTGTAACCCTCTGTGGTTAGGGGGATCTACTCCATGGCTTGCTTATGAGAGTATCATCCCTTTTCCTTTGCTGTCCCTCCTCCGCAGGCATCGGCATGCTCACATGCTGAGATGTGGCCACCGCTGGGGGACCAGTTGTGCTTTCAGGGCTTGATGCAGCGTGGCATCCCTTGCCAAGGTCCACGGGGGGGGAAGACTTGGTGCGTGCCCCATCCCTGGGAGCATCCCTGGAAGCGGCAGGGAGAGAAACACTGCCTGCCCTGGAGTCAGAGCTGGGGAAGGCAGAACTGCAGGCAGCCCGGGGTGATGCTCTGCTTTGCTCCCGGACCATCAGAGACCACCATGCTGTGACTTTCTCCAGCAATGCAATTTTAGGAGCTTGATGGCTGGTCAGCGCTGGCGCAGGCTGGGCAGGAGAGAAGTGTAGGAGGCTGTCGTGCCGGCGACCTGCCAGGCAGAGGGTGAGACAGTCCTGTTTACTCTGCTGAGTGGTCTTCATTCATTTATTCTTCAAACTTGCAGCTGGGGAGCTCAGAACAGGACTAAGGAGACTTAATTATTTACCTCTCGCTGACAAACCAAAACACATCCTTTTGCCAAAGTCCTGATGCAAGTGCTGTGAATACCACATCAAATATTTAGATCATTAATTAGTGGGGAGAATATTGTGCTTTTCATTTTCCCATGCTTGTAAGTAAGAGAAGTGAGATTCTGGACAGCCAGCACCTTGCACCTTCCCCTCACGCCACTACCTTGTCTGCATCCAGACGCATCTGAGACAGGGAAACGACAAAGACGCGCACCTCCTTCCATAGGTAGTGGTGACACTGTATGGAGCCTGTGCCATAACTGAAACGAGTCTGATTAAAGAAGCAAAACCAAGCCAGGTGTTGCACAGAAACTGTATAATTAGCACTTTGTGCCAACTATTTTCTAATTTTTTTTTTTCTTCTTTTTGCTTAAACCCTGGACTTTTTTTTTTCTTCTTAATTTGCTAATCATCTCTCACGGTGACTAAGTATACAGCCCTCCATGCGCTTTTACCTTTTGATGTTAACACAAGAGAACTCTTGAATTTCAAAGAGCTTGGTGGGTATTTGAAAGAATAAAATGGGAAAGCTGCAGTGTAATCAAAGCTCATTATGGTTATTCTTGGTGTGATGTCTCTCTTCCTACATAATTAGCTATTTTGGATTATTGAAGCAGTTCATTTTGGTGGGCACTTTATCTCCATGCTTTCGGTCTGATTTTGATAATTGTGACCCTTGGCCCTTTCAACACTTTATTATACCCCCAAAGGTGTATTTTTTCCCCCTAACAAGTCTCAGTGTCTTGCCATGGAGAGAATTAACAGGTTCATGAGTTCCCAAGGATCAATGTCCACAGTCACCTCTCTAAAGCAACTGGTACTCTGGGTGATGACCAAAACCATACTGATCTTCTGTCAGAAGGTCTGAACTCCTCCATGGAAACATTTTCCATGTCTTACATGTCAGGATGACTTTTGCACTGGTATTTATTTAGAGATGAAACTGTTGGATCCAGTGCTTACCTCTGGGTAGGTGGAAAAGGATCCCAGCAAATTGTTGAGGAGGACAGAAGAGGGACCTTACGGTGAAAATTTAAGGTGAAATTCTCCATGGCTACATCTGCATAATGTCTGCTAAATCCATTGAAACAAAGAAATTTTGAGTATTAACTTTTCAAGATAATTCAGCAGCGAATCTGGTCTTAATGGGTTGAGTAAGCGTAAGCACTTTCTGGACTAGAGGCATGAGTTTTCATTTCAGTGGTAATGAGTCTTTTGGCCATTTAAGGGAGAAAGTGTTGTCATCTCTGGCTCAACAGAACTTGAAAGCTGGTTTGATTTGTTAAAATATGTCCATCACTGCAGTATATCTACTTACATTTGATTTCAGGGAAAAAAAATCTATAAATACCAGAGGTACTTCAAAGCACTATAATATTAATTGTCTTCTGATTTTACCCATATAAAAGGTAAAAAAAAAAACCATGCACACACATAAAGAAAAGAAAGTATTAAAAAAAAAATCAAAGCTGAGCAAAGGCACAAGTAATAGGAAAGCTGGCTTTGAATTTTTAAAAGTGCTTTTATGTCTATCTGAAAAAAACAAACCTGTAATGTCGAAAACGTGCAGGATTCAGTGCCTTTGTTTCCCGTGCTCCCCAAGGAGCGCCGCAGGAGGGGTGTTTATAATCTCCCGTGTCTCCAGTGGCATGGGTGCATTACCGTGTGATTAATAGAGCACAGGTAGGAAATGCGTTGGAGACGTGAATTTGGCTTTGCTGAAAAGCCAGCGTACTTGCCCTCGGCTGCGTTGGGAAGTGGGCTGCGGTCACGGCGTTGCAGCCTTGGCTGTGGATCTCTTTGTGCCTGCATCAAGTGGCCCTTAGTGGCAATTTGGGGGCTTGCAGGTGTCTGTGCACAGACTTGCAAGGGCAGTAATGAGCTCAAAGCCCGCTGAAATCAGTGGACATCAGGGTCCTTAGAGCCACAGTAGACCCAGCCTTTGGACCACCCTCACCAGGGCTTTGTTCACGTGGAGTCTGGGAAAGTGTGGCACGGTGAGGGAGTCCCACAAGGGAATTGATGGGAGAGGGCTGCGATGGTGTGGGCTGAGGCTGCTCGCAGTGCCGGGGGATGCTGCGTCACTCACGGTGGTGTCTGTCATTAACCCCATGGAAGGATGATGGTTCATGGAGCCAGAGCGGTCCTTGGAGACATCCTTCCCTTGTCAGTCAGCATGCTGACTTTTCCCCCTTGCTCTGGTCAACCCTCTGCATCCCACAGATGGACGTCGTTGGCGTTCAGGGGACATCATCCCTGATTTTACGGGGTGGCAAGCTGAGGCACAGAGTTGGCAGCAAATTGCTTGACCTGGGAATGGCGGGAGCCTGCAGCTGAGCAGAGACTGGGCTGCACATCGCTCCAGCCCAGCGCCTTGAAAACGGTCCATGCTGGATTTTCTTCCATAAGAGGTGCCCTGGGAGGAATTCCCCTAAGGCACTGAGTACCGCTATGAGCCCAGGTCTGAGTCTACAGCCCAGGGCAGTGGTTTTGGTTGAGTTATTCTTGCTGGTACCAGCGAAAGTAGAATTAGCCCCATTGCGACCACCTTCCTGTAGAGTTAAGCCCCGCATTGCACCTCCAGCGGCCGAATCTATAGGGGAGACTGGGCAGAGGCAGGCTTTGAATATTCAAGTTGCCCGCTGCCTCCCCACCTCCCGCTCTTGGAGAGTTATTTATTTATTTTGCTGGCTTTTTTACAAGTCTGCTTCTTTCCTGCAGGTTTCACCAGCTTAGGTTTCCAGGCAATCAGCACTTGTTAAATATTCCACTGAGCATGATATTGCTCTCCTGTCTCTCTGTACTGGCGCTCAGCTGCGGTAATTTGCTGAACTCAGCTCTCGCATATGGGGATTTTTTAAAAATAACAAACCTATTAATAATAATAATTAAAAAACACTTGACAGGTGGGAACAGCACATCTAAATTGTTCTGTGTGCCCCAGTGGGAGGAGGGGCATTCAGCTACTTTTTCTAATATTTTGTGCAAGCTGTGGGTGTTGGTGAGGCGGTGCTGTCTAAACCTGCTTGGTGCAAGCCTTAGTGATGCCAGGGTGGCCACAGCTTAGGGGACAGAGGCTTTTTCTTCCTCCCCACCCCGGGAGGCTTTCTTTTCCTGCCCACCCCTTATCACGCAAGGCATCTGAAGCAGGGGGAGAATCATGGCTTTTGCCAAGATCCTGAAACTGGAGGAGGCAGGGATTGTGTTTCCAGGGAGTGTAGTTCTTGGAAGTGATTTTTGAGGAGCTCCACAAGGGAGGTGCCAGCCTTACCCACTCTGGTCTGAGATAAACCCCCCTGTTTTTCAGGATTTCTGTTGGGGGGACAAAACCCAACCAAACAAACCGTGGAGGGAGGATCCATTTCAAGCATCTGCCTTAAGATGTCCTGTTGTCCTTCCAAAAAAATCCAGCTCAACTCTTTCTCTCTGGAGGGTTGTAATTCCAGCACCTGGTGGGGTGGGGGTACACCAGCGCAGGCAGCAAGCACCTGGCAATAGGCATGGATACTCCAAGCTGTCCTGGGTGGGTGGGCTTGTGGTTTCTCAACAAGAAGGTTTCATCAGAGAAATGCAGCCCTTTGGCTGAATGTCCTCAGATATCCAGGGGTGAGACCCCTCGGGGTTCCTGCCAGCTGGGCTGGTGGCTCCCGAGCACCCAAGTGCCCTGGGGATCCTGCCCTTCAGAGCCCTCTTGGCTGGGGTCTGGGCTGGGGAGGTAGTTTTCCAGACTTCCAGGCTTTTTGCCGGAGCTTTGGAAGCCTGAGACTGGGGAAATCTGTCAATAAGGGTCTGGAGGTATCAGGGGCTTCAAGGTTTTTAGCCTGTGGGGTGTCTGCCCTCTTATGCCAGTGGCAGGTTTGAAGGTTTTGTCTAACCCAGACCAGAAGGCAGACTCAGGTGTGAAATTTGGCGTGGGGGGGATTTTAAATTCTGTGTGAAAAAGGAACCACACTGAGGATGAAGGCAAAGAAGTTTAAAAGCTGGAAAAGCCTGTACAACCCAACTGGCGTTATCAAAGGCCAAGTCAAGCGATTAGGAGATTTTTGGGATGCCCTGGGGTTTTTGCTTCAAGAAGTCAGCCTTGACCCTCTGCTGGGGCCGGATTTTAAACACTTGTAATTCTGCTGACCTCTGCACCGTGCGAGAAAGGGGAAGAACAGGTCTAGATTTTTAAATAATAATAATAAAAATAGTAATAATAATACCACCCTTCGTGGCATAATTAAGGGAAGATTGCAGCTTTCAGCCACGTTTCAGTGTCTGTCCACCTGGAGGGAGCTGTGAACCACATCCTCCAGCCTCTCTCTTTCATTAAATAGGTGCGCTCCAACCCTGCTCTTATCCTCTCGGCAGTCTCTAAAACACAGTCAGCCCACAGATAAAACCAGGAGTTGTCCTGTCATGGCTGTGAGGTCTGTAAAGATGGGTTTGAGCTGGGTAATTTTCTCTGTGTTGGCCCTGCTGTCGGTGGACACTATATCATTAGCCCCAGGAGAGGTGGTGGGGTGACAGCAGCTTTGCTGTAAGCCCCGTTAGGAAACTTGGTGCGACGTGCATATTGCTGAAAAGCCGGTTTTCTTGTTTCCCCTGGCTTTACATGGTGCTCTGCTTTTGCTCACAAAGGTGGTAAGGGTGAATCTCAGCTTTTTCCCAGGAATACCAGGTGCTCAACTCTTAGATCAGGCTACGGGAAGCTGATAGCTGGGCACTGTAGGTTACTGGGGGGTGGTTTCTGGGTCTTATCTAGTATATTCTTTCTGGAAATCCAAGACTGGTCTTCTGTGCTTTGGCAGGGATCAGTTCCTAGGCTTTCGCGCTCCATTTGCTGAGTTGTTGAGTTGGTCAAGCACTGTCATGGATTTTCTCTCTTCATTCTTTAGCGTGCTGAACCGCACCCCAGTGCACCTCGTCCATGAAATCATACTAGTGGATGACTTCAGTGATGATCGTAAGTGACCCTTTCTATGTTAAAAGCGAGGGGCCAAACTGAAAGAGAGTGTGAGAGACTGGGATTTACGCAGAGAGGGGGAAAGAGTTTGTCAAAGCGGAAGGAAATTTAAAGCTCCGTAGGTGTAGAGAGCAAACCCCACTGTGCCAGGTTTGCATCGCCGCGTGAAGAGTTCAAATTCCAAATGATCAAACCTCTTCTCATGAATATAATACAAGAAAAGCGCATGGCAAATAGTTTTTATGCCCAGTAGACATGAATCCAATCCTTACCCGGTTGTATTCTGCCGCAGCTATGGTGTGTTTAATCTGGCTTTCAGCTGCAGCCAGGAGCAATTCTGGGTTGACACCACTGGAATTGCACAGGATAATGATAGTCTGACCCTCCTGATGTATGCACATGTTCTGCATACGTTTATGTAGGTGGCCAGCAACTCTTGATTGATTTTTTTTTTTTTTAACCCTCTTTTTCACCCATGTAAAGAGGCTTTCCTGCATGGGTTGCCCATTTCTGAGATGCACCATAAATAGCACTGTACACCACAGACAGCCCACCTCCTCCTGCCATTCTCTCCCAGTAAACAGCGTGACTCGAGTGAAATCAATAGGTCCGATCTCTAGCAGAAGTCGGGAGCTGAAACCCCAGGGGCTTCCAGGGAACCACCCCAGCTAAAGACCTTGCCTGGTGAGATGGGTGAGTGGAAGATTCAGGTGCTGAGACTAAGTGCTCGAAAAAACTGTCTCAGGCATAAAAAGGATGATAAAATACACCTAGACTGAGCTGTCCATGGCACTTGCATTTCAAGGAGCTGCAAGATGTAGCCACTTACTAGGAAATGTGAAAACTAAGCCAGAGAGGTTAAAAAAAAAGGATCTATGCTTTGCTCTTGGATATTATAAATAGGCACTGCCTCAGAGAGCATTAGGGACAGATTTCACATGAGACCCACTTCTCGGCATCGACACCTCCCTGGGGAGTTGCTGAAGCCGGGGGAAGGGGTTGCAGTGATTACGGTGAGCTTTGGAGCGACTCCAGTGCATGGGGGGCCAGGCTGGGCAAGCCTGAGGACTGGCAGAACGGCTGCAATGGAGAAAAGGAGCAGGCGCAAGGACTCGAGCTGCCCCGGCGTACAGCAGAGCAGGCTTTTTGAAGGGGGGAGGAAGTAAATGCCAGTTATTTGGCTAAATAGACAAAGCGCTTGCCTTCCTGAAAGGAGAAAGGTTTGTAGAAATGCAGTTTCCCTGCCACAGCACACCTGATGGCGTGAGCCTTGGAGAAGGAGCAGGGCTGGGTTTAAGCTCCTCTCGTTCCTGGGGCACCGGGGGAAGCCTCTTTCCCACCTAACTTAGAGCGGCCCCTCGGCTACTCGAAATCAGTGCTTCTCAGCTGTCTTACATCTCCTTTCCTGTGATAATTTGAGCCTGCTGGCATCTAGTCTGCATGCATTTACATAAAATACATCTATTTGCATAATACGCTGTATACACACGGTCAGTTTTTTCCCTGCAACCCACCCCAAGCAATTGGTGCTTTTATCTCATGCCTAGTTGTGTCTCATTTCTCACCTCTCTCTGTCCGTTGACCTTTTATTCACTGGGATGCAGTTGTTCTGCACGTGGGTTCCCGCACTTCCCAGCAAATCTCCATCGTAGGTCTGTAGCCAACCCCTGCCACCTCTGCCCCCCTCGTATGCGCAGAGCAACACAGCCCTGTACCCCAGTTGTTAGGGATACTGGTACAGTGATGTCTCTCGTCAACAAAGATTTCTGGAGGGGATGAAAGCACTGAGAGGTCCACGCGGGCTCATGGGGTGGGTGCCAGGGATGGGGCACATGCACGTGTGTTTACAGTGCCGAGGAAGAAGAGGCAGAGAAGTGGTGAGAGGTATGAAGGGGTTGCGGAGGTCACGGCGTGGGTGTGCGGAGGTAGAGGGGACTGTGATGGGTGCAGATGCCTGCAGAGCCAGCTCTTGCTGGGAGAAATCTGGGTGAGGAGGGATGCTGGGGCTGCAGGCAGCACCGGGGCGAAAGCAATGGCAGCAACTGCATGTGGGATTGCAGGAGCTCCCTAGCTCAGGTGTGGGTGGCTGTGGGAGCTCTCTGCCCCGTGGAGCTGCTGCCCCAGGTATGAGGAGCCCTTGGATGCTCCATAGGACTCTCTTTGACCATCATTTTCTCCTTGCTGAGGGCTTGCGGGCCCCCTCAGGAGGCTCCTGCCCCTCCACACAGACATGCATCAAACAGCTTTTGTGTTGCTTTGCAGCTACCAAAAATAGTCATTTGCATTAATGTGCAAAAACTCCGACTCTGTCCCCAACCACGGCTCTTCTACACTGACTTTCCAGTGTAATTCAGCTGTTCTTGGTGTAAATCTGCTGGGTTTACAGTGGTTTTATGAAAACTGCTGCTCTGCCAGTCCTGATTTACACTGCATGAGCTGAGGGGTAAGACTGTTGTGCCCCAGCAGAGCAATCGCCCTAACAAGCCATCAGCCAGTCCAGGACGGGGTCCTCTCCCTGCTCCCAATCTCCCCTAGGACCATTTCTGCTGCCAGAGCCACCACGAGGGCTGAGGGTGACATGTCATCCCTTTGTGTTTCCCAAGCTGATGACTGCCGCTTGTTGGGCAAGCTCCCCAAGGTGAAGTGCTTGCGGAATGGACGGCGAGAAGGTAAGAGCTGCCTGCCCAAAACCCAGGTGGGAAACCCAGATTTGGGGAGGTGTGAGAGTGATGGAGCAGGGGGGGACCTCCATGGAGTGGGCGACAAGGGAGGTCAGTGGCTCCTGGGGATGGGGGGCCCTGATAAAAGGAGATGTGATAAAGGGCTGGGATTTGAAATAGATCCCCCCCTCTCTTGCTGAAAAAGATGGGACTATTAAGATATCCAATGAGGCTCAGCTGTAGCTTATTAACCAGAAAATTAGAACAGGCAAAACAAAGCCCCGGGTCTTATTTTTAAAGATGTTTGCTCTAATGAAAGAGAGGAGATCTGCTTCTGTGGGATTTTTTTTTTTTTAATAATTAATTATATTTGAAAGATTAAGAAGGACTATATGGAGGAAGAATGTATGTCCTACTGGGCTGCGGCTGGCAACCTTTTGAGACATTTTCCAGCTCCCTATAGTCTGAATGGGTGTTTTCAAGTCCTGCTTTGCAGTAGTAGGAAAACAAAAAACAATGAAGTTCTTTCATGCTGAAAATCGAAGGCGTGAGTCCAGGTGTGTGTCAGGTTGTGGTGATGGAGGAGTGGAGAGGGTTTGTCTGTGGATTCTTTCTGCAGAAGGTTTCAGATCTGCAGGTCTGGTCTCAAGGTGGCATTACCTCCCCATGGGTGTAAGAGTTATACCTGCTTTGGCAGGAGGGTAGGGGAGGTCTCCATGGACATGCACCTCCTTCTCACCTTTCTCTCCTGTGTTATGGGGGTACATATGTGCTCACCCCCAGCACTGGATGGTGCTCTATAAAGCCATTAGGATTTGGGTACTGTTGTGGTTTAACCCCAGTCAGCAACTAAGCACCATGCACCCGCTCACTCAACATTCTTCTCATACCTAACTCAAAAACATAGCACTGTACCAGCTACTAGGAAGACAATTAACTCTATCCCAGCTGAAACCAGGACGGGTACCCAGCCTGGAGGGCTTACCTAACTTAAATACATCACTGAAGCTGTATCCTTCAGGACCTGCCAGGATCTGGGGAGGGCTGGGGTTGGTACAGCAGACTGTGCCTACCCGCAAGATCGTAGAAGTTGCAGAGAGAGATACAGGAACAACCTAGGTTGCAGGAGGTGACCTTGGCAAACATTGGATTGCTCCAGGCTTTGTTCTCCTGTCCTTCTCCTTCCTCCTCAGAGGCTGTTCCTTGACCCCTTTCCTTGAGGAAATTTTAATATAAAAGTCAGTGACCTCCTTCTGCATGGACCTGATGCGTGGCTGCTCCCTGAAACCCTTCTCTCTCTTTTTATCCGCTCCTATCTCCCTTTGTATTACCATTGTTTCTCCTTCATCAAGAAGCTCTGCTCCCCTTGAGCAACTTGTGTGTCCTCTTGTTTGCCAGCGGACCATCTACTTTCTTACGTTGCACTTCACTTGAGCATTGGCTGCAGGCAGGAGGAGTGTTGGAAAGCCAGTTGACTCCTGCATAAATAGGAACAGAGCATCTTCAAGAGCAGTGATCTTGCCAAAGAGTCTAGTGTGAAATCCGTGTGTGCAGCTGTTTTCCATGGCTTCCCTCTTTGTTCATTTTTCTCTCTCACAAACGCACACAGCGATCCGTCTCCAGCTCCGAAGGGCTCTAAATTCACCATCAACGCCCTGATGAGCCAAGCAGGCTCTTAGCACCTTGAGAGCCGACCCTCTTTACTTGGTGGAAAATGTGTTCCCATTAAGCTGCAGATCAGCAGTGCTCCCAGGGTAGGAGAGAGATCTGGGGGTCACTGGGACACGGAAAGGGGCACAGCAGGGAAGAGTCAGCAGTCTAAGAAAAGCCTAATTCTGGCATAAAGTGATCCCACCCTCAACTCCCCTGGCCCATTCCCCACTGACTTACATCTATGTTGGATTTATTACTTGCAGGGGATTATGAAAGCATTTTGAGTCGTGTTTTGCCCCGGAAGGTGACAGTAGAAATAATTGCACAAATTAAGGATTGGCATAAATGCCATAAGTCATTAATCTTGGTGGAGCCGTTTATTTGCTTTGGTGACCTTGGGAAATGGTTGACATGCCTTGCAGCGCCGGGAAGGAGGCAATGAACCCGAACCATGTTTTATCCAAGTGGGATTTAGATGGGTCACAACCCAGGAGACGCACAAGTGCAAGAGACCGTGCTGGAGGAGCCTGGGGACATTGCCCATCCATCTGGGCAGCAGCTGACATGGTGTGTCCCTGAACAGGTCTGATCCGGTCCCGAATCCGAGGGGCAGATGTGGCACAAGCGGGAGTCCTGACCTTCCTCGACAGTCACTGCGAGGTGAATAAGGACTGGCTGCTCCCTCTGCTGCAGAGGATCAAAGAGGTGAGTGCTCCTGAGAGACCAGGGCTGCCCTCAGGGGATGCGTCGCTGATGTCCACCTCCTCTCCCCTCTTAATGGGCATGACCACCCAACTGTAGCCAACTGCATGCAGGCATCCGAGGAAGAAAGCGATGAGCTTCTGGGGTGCAAAGTGGCCTTCGCTGGTCTTCCTCTACCCAGCAGCCAGGTGGGGTTGTCTCCGTGACTGGGAGAGCCTGTGGGTGCCTCCGGGGGCCGTGGGGCTCTAACTGGCAAGCACAAGTTGAGTGGTGAAAGGGGAATACGTGGGCAGTGCTCCAGCGGAGTTTTTAATTAGGCTCATGTAAAATGCTCAGTGCTGATGATTTAAGGGAGTGACGGCTCCTAGAATAGGGGCCGAATTTAATTTCATGCAAATTAAGCACTAATAAATTGATTTAATAGGATTTAAATTCTGCTGATTTCAGAGCAGACAATGACATTCGCCTTTCGCCGGCGGCGACATTCTCGCCAGACGTGCGCACGGAGGCTCCCGGCGCCTTGTCACTGGAGTCAGAGGGGGCTCTGTGCTGGTGACCTGCTGGCACGGCGCAGGGGATGACGCCTTCGGCTCCAGCGCGGACGCACGGTCCTTGGTCCTTTCCCTCCGCTGTGCCTCTTTCCTCCACCCTTGCTACACCTCTGGCTCCTGATTGCTAGTATTTATTACTCGGTAATTTTAAAACTACTGAATTATGTTGAAATAATATTATGTTGAGATGGGCAGCTGAGGAGCAAGGGGAAGCCGAGGCGGTGGGTTACGGAGAAACCCGCTCGGCTGGTGTTCACGGTGCCCCTCGTCCAAGGCGTCCTGCTTTTCACACCTCTATAGGTGATAGCCCTGCTGGCTGGGCTATACATCCCCTGTGTGCAGCAGCGATGGGACAGGGGGAAGGGGGGCACAGCACCAGGTCAGGTCCTGCCAGAGCGGGCGAGGGCGGTCGGTGCCGCCGGTGCTCGAAGCGCAGCCAGCGCTGGAGAGGTCCCAGCCTCGGTTTGCAGGCTGGGCCGCCGCAGTGCTGCTGATAAATGGTAATATAATGAAAATGGCCTTTTCATATTATCGATCGCAGCTCTGGTGGAATTATGAGAACACCTGCTATAATACCCCACTCGGGCCTCGTAGCCGGCCTGCCCCAGGGTGGGATTCACCACTAAACTTTACTGCATCGGTTTGTTCCTTTGAGCTTTTTTAAGGCAAGCATTCCTCGTTCTCTGCCAAAGCCCTGCTGTGTTTTGGTGAGGAGTATCCAGAGCGATTGCCTCTTTCCCAGGCAGAGCTTTTGAAGTGTTTTGGCAGGAGAAGGGCAGCAGTGGTGGCAGAAAGGGGACAGGCAGAGCTGCTTTCCCGTGCAGCTCCAGGACTGTGCCCCGCGTTCGGCACCCGTGGGGTGGGTGAACGTGGATGCCACGTGCGGCATCACCGTAGGAGTTTCACTGCATCGTGGTCTGAATATAGCATCAAATGCACACGTCACCTCCGTGAAGTTCTTTTTATTTGTTCTTCTGGGTTAAATCTTTCTCTGGCTGGAAGTAAGGCAGTTTGTAAGCTTGCACTGCTGCTCCTGCTGCTCTTACCCTGCCCCGTGTCTTGCAGGCCAGGCACAAAGGGAGACTTCGTATGAAGAGTGTTGAGGGACTTGCAAAGCAAGTGGCGTCCCACTTGCTTGCTTTTTAACTGCTCGCAAAAGCTGCAGGATAAGGGCAGAGAGTCCTCAGTTTCCTTCTTCCCAGGCCCACTGTACCCATCCTTTCCATCAGGGTTAAAATATTGATCAATGAAGTGTATGAAATGTTACTGCTGCCACCTTCAGGCTGTGCTAAAGAGATGGCTTCCCTGTCCCACTGCTGCGGTGAAGATTAGCCACTTAGAGCATTTTCTTACCGTGTTACTCCTAGGAACAGTCTGCTTTGAGCTAATGTGATTTAAGTTTCAAGCAAAGGAGAGCGGTGATTGCCTCGAAGCACACCCGGCACTTTCGCCACCACCAGCCACCTCGCGCGTCGCTTCTCTTTTATTTTCTCAGCCAGAACAGCTATTCCTGCAGCCTTCCGTGGTGCAAAATGCCAGAGCCCATGTGTGCCACCATGCACTGGCATGAAGGTGCCCCACATCGAGCTTTCCCAGCATCCCCCCCACCCCAGGCCAATGCTCACTTTCAGGCATGGGCAGCACGTGCCCAGCATATGGATTTGGAAACAAGCAGGACTAGAAAGTCTAAGAGCAAGTGATGGGGTGTGGGGGGAAGAAAGGGGGTGCAGGGGGTCTCGGACCTGTGCCTGGGAGGGTGCGTGTCCCTGGGAGTGGCAGTGACGGTGGGTGTTTTGTACCAGCATGTTTGCAAGCGTATGACTGTGAGCGCGTGGGCACGGGCTCTTGTTTTTATTTACGGAACAAATATCTCCTAAAGCCATTATCAGTGCATTTCGACTGAATAACTTTTCTAAAAATGTAATTATCCGGCCCAAGGCGTTTTTACAGCATGGCTCAACAAACTTACCCCAAAACCGGATTTGCAAATGGCACTGGGATGATCCAGTGGAGGGTGACCCCCTCACTTCCAGCTCAAGCACCCCCCCAGTTTGATGCTCTCCTAGGGGAGGGGGAGGCAGATGATGGCCCTCTCATCTTGCCTAATGCTGCTGTGGGGCCTGAGGAGCAACCGTGGCCCTTTTTGTTGACCATTACAAGGTCATGATGTAGAGGTTGGGAGACAAGCTGGAGTCAAGGTCCTTTTCCAAGGTTGAAATGCATCCGTTGTCTTCAGGACCATTTTCAGAGTTTTTTCCTGTTGATTTAGTTCCATAATTCGGTTTATTTGAGAAGTGTATTGGAGAAATGCATTCGCAGGTTTTTTGAGAATTTCATGTGAAAGAGGATTGAAGATTTGGGCGTTGTTAATATTAACATGCCCTGGCGTGGGAGGGTATCAAAAAAAAAGAACGGTGAACCTGCCTGTAATAAGATCTGGTGCTCAACCCAAAATAAATCATAGCAATAGCGCTGTGCTCTTGAGCATGCCATGCTTTTCTTTTGAGGGTCAGAGAGACCTTCATGAAAGCTGAGTAAATATAAATGTTCCCAGGATGTGGCAGGGAAAGTGAGGCAGGGAGAAGGTTGCACTGCTGAAGGCTAGCATTTTGCAGTAGTGCACTCAGCCAAGGTGTAAAGGGGATTTTCTTGCAAGAAGTTGTGCCGTGCAATGAGTAGGAGTGGAATCGAAATTGGGGACCAGTGTCGGCTAGTTACAAGTGCTCACCAGTAAGATGCTTGGGGGGCAAGTCTAAATGACTAGATACGATCCTTTCCCTGCAGTGTTCAGCACGCAAAGCAGATGCTTTGCTCAAAACCTTTCCCCTACCCTCAGGCAACTAAAACGTGCTTGGGTATACTGAGCTGTGGCAGCTTGGGGGACACTATGCAGCAGCTACAATGGGTTTGAAAGGCTCATCGTGCTTGGCTGTGACTTGAGTTTCCCCACCCGGTATGTAGGTACAGCAGACCTTGCCCTTTCAGTGGGATGTTTGACTCACAGAAAGTCATGTTAAGACTCCTGACTTGTCGTTGTTATGGAAATACCAAGTATTTGTCATGCTTATTTGGAAAACCTGAGCTCTAGACCAGCTCCGAGCTCATGGCTTTTGGTTGCTTTTTCCTACAGCTGCGTTTGAATACTTTTGTTAGGACTAATTTCTAAAACAAAGTCTTTTCTGAGTGAGAGAACAAGCCCATGTGTGCTCAGATGCTTTCCTTTGCATGGCTGTGAAAAACAATTTGATCTGGTGAGGGTAAAAGCTTGAAGTTTGAGCTATAATTGGAGTTTGGGATTTTTGAAAAGAGAAAGGGAGATAAGAGAGCAGTCAAAGCTGTCAGAGTCTCTTCCTCCTGTAGATATTTTTGTTCATAACTGTTTGTATAATCTCTTTGTCCATAACAAGATGTTAATTAAATCACCACCAACTCTTTAAAATAATTCAGGCCTTTTTTTCTTAACCCTTTCACACATTTGGCAAAACTCTAACTGTATCCCCATAGTTTGTACATTTAAAAAATACCTGTATTTAAGCTGCCTGACTGCCTGTGTTTTTCCTCTGTTGTTGCAACCGCCTGTTTGTCGCCATACTTCTGAAATCCAGTAAAAAGTATTTAAGCGAGGTGAAAGGGGAATACGTCGGTGAATTTGCAAAAGGCGGACGGAGCTTTGCATCCAGCCAAGTTGGGCACCGAGTGCACGCACAACCTACGGAGGGGAGGGACTGTGGGTGAAGTCAAAGCCGGTGAGAGATGCTAGCTCAGCAGCCCAGAGTCCTCTTTCCCAGGAGAGACAGTGTCTGTCTTCCCAGCTTCTCTCACCGGCGTGTCCCTGGCTCCCAGTAATATCTCTGCCGCTTGGCACTGCTGCCGTTAATTCCTTGGTTGAACTGATGTGATGGCTGAGGAGGAGGAGGCAGTAACGGGCACTTGTCCCTGACAAACCTGAATGACACCAAGATTTCCAGCCACCTGGTGTCTCCAGGAGTTCAGAGTATCCCTTGACCAGTTTGAGCGATGTGGTCTGAAGTCATGGGTCATTTCGCTTCTGCTTTCCAGGATCCCACCCGAGTGGTCAGCCCTGTTATTGACATCATCAACTTGGACACTTTTGCCTATGTGGCGGCTTCCTCGGACCTCAGAGGAGGTAAGTCCAAGCTGCGTGTGTGCCCCATGGGCGTCCATCCCGTGGCGTGAACGTGCACTGGCCCGAGGAGCTGGTGGCTCTGCACCACACCGCTGGCTCCTGCTACCTTGCAAAAAGTTCATTAGCACTGTTCAGTACTCCTCGCTGGCTGTTTTCAGGCTATTTTAGAGACAGGTAAGTGTGGTGTGAGGAACGGTGTTTGCTACAGTGGATAAAGCGGTCAAGCAGGAAAGAAGGGTCATGTCGAAGCCACCCTTGGCAGCACTGAAAGCCGGGCTGCTGACAAGAGGAGATGGGGGATGTCTAGGCAACAAATGGAGGATGCGACTGTAGCGCTTATTAGTATGCCTGTGCTATTTGTAGCATGCAATATCCATCAGAGCGTGTATCTGTGTGCACAAGGGGACAAAGTGAGGTTTCAGCAGCATCTTTAATTCTGACTTTTCCTGCCTTTGGAGTGCTTGACTGCAATTGTAATGCAATGTGTTGTTTCTTGTTCATATGCAGTAGTAAAATATGTTAGTCATTGGACTCCTCTCCCAAGAGCTGCATCTCCATGGCTTAGGTCAGTTGAAAGTGGGGAAAATACTCCATCAAATGTGGCTTCTGCAGCCTGCATTGCCTCCTAATCCATACCCATTTCTAATTTCCCCATGGTACTTCTCTACTTCGGTTTTAGGTTTTGACTGGAGTCTGCATTTCAAATGGGAGCAGCTTTCCCCAGAGCAGAAAGCCAAACGACTTGATCCCACTGAACCCATTAAGTAAGTCAAGAGGGGGAAGGAGGCACCTGAGGAATGTGGGGCAGGACAGGCGTCTCATCTGACCTCATGTGTGTCACCATGCACCATGGCAGTGTGATATTCCTTCCAGGACAGCTCTGAACGCCTAATAACTATAGCGAGCTCCTGGCTGGCTTGGGTTTTGCAGTACAGCTTCACCTGCCAACACTGAAGCCTGAGGGTGCTACAAAGGTAGAAGGGGTATATTTATGGTTATTTGTGTTTTGGTAGTGCTAAGGAGGCTGAATACGGTTAGGGAAGAAGCCTAGTGCTCTAGACTCCTGCTTCTCTCAGCTCAGCTATCACTTAAAAATAAGGCGGTGTCCTCAGCCCACTTGACAAAAACGTGATGTCTAGTCCAGCCTTTCCAGACCAGCGCTGCTCTTCTGGACCTCGCTGAAGGCTCCTCAGAAATTCAGGATGTGCAGGAGAGATAGCGAAACTGAACGGGAGAGATGCCATCTGTCCTCATGCCGTGGGATGGAGGGAGTCCTTCATTCCGCTGAAAATCTCTCCTGGCAGCAAGCCTAGTGCTGGTGTCTGCATCCCCAGCCGTGAAGTGCCGGGGTGTGTAACATGGAGGAGACCAAATGTTGGAGGAAGCTCAGGGCCTCAGAAAGCTCTCAGGGGAGCAAAGCACTGCTTCTCCTTAGGATGCTGTTGTTAACAGGAGCTCTCGCTGGCTTCCCAGAGGCTCTCCTTGCGTTCCTGGTCGTCCTGCCATGTAGGGCACTGCGGAGACTAGCCTGGGCGCAGCAGTCATCCCAGCTCCTCCCAAGCTTACGCTACGGCATCCACACTGTCTGCAATTGAATGGAGACAGGGCTTGCGCCAGCAAATGGCGAGTCTCCTCGAGCTATCTTCTGGCTCTGCCCTCCCCTCCTCCACAGACCTTCTCTGTGCAGTTTTCTTAGCTAATCCAAGGAATGAAAAATAACCCTGTTTTGAAATAAAGATCACACAGCTAGTGATGGCTTTTAAAAAGCCCTTCTGAATTGGCTTTGCCTTCCCCTCCCCAGTGCAATGGTGCTCTTAATAGGCTGGCTCCAGGCAAAAAGACCGTCTGAGTGAATAACCCCCTGAGCGCTAAGTGCATTTTTGATGCTGAAGCCTACAATCAGGGCTGTGAACTTTGGGCTTGTAGGAGTTGTGCTGACGGGTGCATTAGCCAGTCATTAAGTGCCAGGCAATTTATGATTGACAGCAAAATACCAAGGCAGCTGAAAGAAAGACTCAGATGCTTTTTGAGGTGTGTTGTCCTTGTTTGGCGAGGAGATACTTAGGTAATGTCCTGACAATGGAAGAGGAGGCAAAGGGAAGGGCTGCTTCTGTGCATCCAGGTGCTGCAGCAGTGTTTGAGTATGTGTCCCCTCTTCCTTTACCGATTCTGCAGGACTCCCATCATTGCTGGGGGGCTGTTTGTGATCGACAAAGCCTGGTTCAACCACCTGGGGAAGTATGACAGTGCCATGGACATCTGGGGTGGGGAGAACTTTGGTGAGTCACTCTTCTTCCTCCTATGCCTTGCTGTGTTGGCTTCTCTTCCTGAGTCATGCCAAATGGATGACTCGGGTCATCCATCAGGTCACTTTGGACTTCGCTTTGAATGCTCTGCACGGTTTCCCTCACATTCATAGTTTATGGCCTCAGGTGAGTAAGGAATCCAGCAACCATGAAGGATGGGAAGTGAGCAATTGTTAGTGCTCAGGACTCCCTGTCTTCCACGCTGCTTTGATTTTCTATAGGTAAATACCCTAAATCACAGAATTTTCAGCTTTACCAACAGATGAGAGAACACCACACACACCCTCCTATTCCTTCCTGATCTTATTTTCTCAGCAATAAAGTAAAGACGTGTCTTATTCCATTGTCTGACAACAGCATTTCAAAGCTATGAACTGAGGCATCGGTGCCTCCCTGAATTTGCAGAGTGCCTGAAACAGTAGCTCCATCGGCATGCTGCAAGCAGGTGGCAAAGTGACATGGCTGCTTATCCATTCCTGTATCACTAGATGGCCGAGCACTGCCAGGCTCTCCTCAACACTATCATTTTTCCTGCACAAAAAAAAATTCAGTCACCTCTGCTCATTATCACAGGGCAAGATGGGCATTAAGAAATCTCCTGCATGCAAACTTGAGAGGGCACATGAAGGAGGTAACAGCCTGTCCCTTCTCCCCCATGTCTAGCGGAGCTGGATCAGGCTGGGCTGTTCTCTCTTTGAAGCTGTAGCAATGCTGCAGATCAGAGCAATAGACTGTATCCTTGAAAGCAGGGGAGGCACTCGATGTCAGGGAGGCAGATCAGAACCTGGCTTTAATAGCTCACACCTCTGGGGAGCACGACTAGCAAGGAAGGAAGGATCTTGTGTCTTAACGCATACAGCGATGCTGTCAGTCATCCAAGGGAACAGATGCTGCTGCCTTGCAGTAACCCATCCGCTGCCTGGCACTGTTGTTTCCTTCACATGCCTTTTTCCTCTAGCATATTTTATTTATTTATATCTCGTTAAGCAGTAGGATCTCACTCCTTCGTGCTTTCTCTCTGTGGGTGGGTGTCTTGCCACCAGACTGACCCAAAGCATCTGCTCCTCTGAGTGGGGTGGCTCTGAGAAAACCCAGGAGGGGAGCGACAGCCCTCCCGCCTCCCCCGCTGGATCAGCGGCCCAAACAAAGCATTCAAAAAGGGAACTAGACGGGAGGAGAGGGACTGCCGTGCGGTGCCTGACCTGCTGTCCGTCTCCGCTCATCACTCGTCTCTGACAGCAGCGAGCCTCCGCTGCTCCTGGGAGATGAACAGTGACAGGGCAGCCTGCCCTCCGGGGAAGCTCTATCCCGCCAGCTTGTCCGATGCCCTGCAACGGCAGGCGTCGCGCTCCTTATGTGTGGTTGTGGCCCATCCTACAGAGTGCGATGTTTCCCTTACTGGTGCTATGCCCTGGGAAGCTGGTCCCGATCGAACATGCGCTGGCTGTGCTGCAGGGTGTAATGCTGCCTCAGGGCACTGGCGTGACGAAGGTAAGCCAGGCAGGTTGACACTGCAACAAAAAAGCGCAGGTCTGCATAGCAGCAGGGCAGATCCCGTCTTGCCCGTCGCCCTGAGAGCAGAAGCGTGCCCGGCTCAAAGCTGGTGAAGGGCAGCGCATCCCACCTCTCCTTCGCTCACAGGCGAGGGCAGCTGTGACCCTGCTGGCCCCGGTCACTTCTGGGCAGTTGACAGAGGGCAGGAGCTGACCAAGCAGCTGCTCATTTTGGGCACTTGCAGTGAACCGTGCTTTTTCTGGTAGCTTAGTCCTGAGGGGATGCAGGACTCTGGTCCTGGGGAGCATCGCTGCTGCCTTTAGTGTTAGTGACTGGGCAGCTAGAGGGGGCTGGAGACTTCAGGCAAAACAAAAGCAAGTGTGATTGGGTTAGAAGGAGGACATTGTAGGTGTTTTACTTTTTAAATTTACTTAGTCCCCTGGAGGTGGATTGATGAGCTATGGCAGAAGGACTTGCAGGCCAGTAAGAAGTCCTAAAGGCATTTTGCCAAGCTAAGGCCAAGCCCAGTGCACCCCAGCACGTACTGCTCGCCTCTCTCCTGGGGTCACTCGGAGGGGCCACCTGCACTGGAGACATCTCTGGAGGGTCAGGTGAAGCATGCCGTCAGTTCCTGCTCCCCTGGCTCCTCTGAGCTGGGCCCGTGCCATGCCTTCGCTGGTGCCTCAGTTTACCTCCTCCCGAGACATTTAGCTTTCAGCTGCCTGTCTGGAGACCTTGTTTGTTAGCTGCCACGGATGGCTCCATGGATCGTCCCTACCTGCCAAAACCTGTGCTTTAATTGCTTCTGCTGGGACCGGAGCAGGGTCTGCAGGGTGCAACATGTCTGAAGCAGAGAGCTCAGACTCCTCACCACCTCCTGCCTCCCCAGCACTGTATTCTCATTCCGGTTCACAGTGCACAGAGATCACCTCAGCCCACCTCTTCGTTAGACTTTAAATTAAGAGCAGGCGAGGACTGAATGGTGCAAGTCTTTCCCTTGTAGTGCCTCAGGGAGCTGCTCTTCTCCCGGGCTGAACAGAAGGACCAGAGGAGGGGAAGGCACCAGACAGCAGCCACGCTGTGGTTCACAGCTGTTTGGCTGATTGTCCCCCTTTATCAGGCACCCTTCTGATTTACACAGCAGCACTGGCAGCGTGGCTGGCGCTGTGACACGCAGGCAAATGTCTCAGCAGCCACGTGCGAGGGGAACCGAGCGCAGCAGCTTAGAGTGGCCACATCCTGCCATAATCTCATTTCCCTGCAGCTGTGATTAAGGTTGCTCCCAATATAGCACCAGGACACGGCACAAGGGCATGTTTTATTGGCCTGTTAATACCCAGTGCTGGGGAAAGTGGTGAGGCTCCAGCTGCTGTTGCAGCGCTTGCCTGTAAACACAGCAGTGAAAGGAAGGGGAGGGGATTTCTGGAAAAAAAGTACTTTTCCTCCCTGCTGTGCTTTCCCACCGCAGCCTTTGCTGGCCCCTGCTGCTAGGGCCAGCTGTTGGGGATGGGCTCAAGCCCTGAATTTTGGATCTGGGCATCAAGGTGAGAGGGCTTTGTGGCTCTGCCAACCTCCCATTTCCTTCAGCCCGGGAGCAGGTGGGTGTGCTGGCAGCGGGGATGGGAGTGACGGGAAGGTGGCTCCTACCTCTGCAACGACAGGTACCTCGTGGCTGAGCCATGTGTCCTGAGAGTAGGTGGCTTTGGATGACCAGGCTCCAATTCTCCTTTGCTCCTTGAAGCTGTGAGTTGTTTTCAGAGGGATGGCAGCTTTGTGGGCTGGCAGTGGAGGAGGAGGAGGACTCCTGTTCATGCTGCCCAAATGGCTTTCCCACCACAGGCACTCATCTTGCCAACACCAACCTGGGGACAAGTCATCCTTGCGCTGGTGTATGTATGTGAGGGGACTGCCAGCAGCACAACCTGGCAAAGACGATGGGTGGCCTCCTGTCTGACTTCTGTAGTTAAAGGGGGACAGGGAGTGAAAAGGAATTTGTAGTTTTGGAGTACATACATGCTGCGTGTAGCTCTATACTGTCAACAGATGATAAAATAGGATGCAAAGAACTGCAGAAGCCTTTTCTTTTTTATTTCATTTTTTTTCCATGCTGGTTCTGTCTAAGCATGACTTTCTGACAATATAGCTGCAGATTCATAGCTTAACAGGCGTTAGGACCAGATGGACCTGTTAGATCAGCCATTCTGCTCACCCGTCCTACCTCGCCAGCTAGGATTTCATCCAGCTCCCTGCCAAGAGCCCGGTAACTTCTGGTGTCAACTGTGCCACAGGCTCGTTTTGCTCCAGAAGGGCCCCGTGGACCAGGCAGGGAGCAGCTTGGGGCAACTGGGAGACATTTGCCATACTGACAGCTTATCCAGATTTTTAGGAGATAATCCCTCCCACCACTGACCTTTGCTTGTGTTAAGGTGTGTGCCTTGTTGGACCACAACGTTGGCACTCACAGCCCGGAGTACATGCCACACAGGGTAAGCTCCTGTCCGTTTTGGGACAGATGATGGATGCACAGCTCTCTGTTCATTTTGCAGAATCAATGGTGGATTCATAAAGATAATGACCATTGTAGTCATTAATGGTGAATTCATGGCGTCTCCTGGTGAACTTGACAGCCCTTTGGAGGGAAGTGACTCTGAAATAGGCAGTGCAGAAGTAATTACAGGAGCACAAAACTGGCAAGATGATTCTGCGATGTAAGCGGGGCTGCATGAAAAGGGACCTACTTACCGTCTCACTCTTGCCATTGTGATAGCACCTGCTGTGCTATAAGCAGGTTTCAAGTGCACTGACTTCAAACAGATCGCAAGAAGCTTTGAAATGCGCTTTTAAGGCATTTGTGCCTAGGAAAGGCCCTCTGGTAATTGATTTACCCCAGTTTAATGTGGCAGAGGATGAAGTGAGAGGTAACACCAGGATCCAGTCTGCTGTAGGACAGAAAGACAAAATGCTGAAGCTGCTTCTCTTGTAGAAATCTCTTTCCGTGTGTGGATGTGTGGAGGGAGCCTGGAAATCATCCCCTGCAGCCGCGTTGGACATGTCTTCCGGAAGAAACATCCGTATGTCTTTCCAGAGGGAAATGCCAATACATACATTAAGTAAGTGTTTTGTGCTTGCTTTGTTTTTTTGTAAAACAGAATCAGGTGCTGCCTTGTGGGGAGGGGGGAGCAGAGAAGACAGGGAGGAGAGTTTGTTTGGAAAACTTTGAAATATCCCTGGGCAGGAGTCTCCTGAGCCGAAGAAAATGCAAGTCAGTACAACTCTCCCTTAGGCTTTCTACAGTGCCGAGAATATGACAGAAATAGGGCACTTATATGGTACCTTTCATCAGCGCAGAAATAGAGGGACAGCTCCAGCATATCCCTGAGCACTAGCTACCGTAACAGCAAATGGTTTAGACCCTAAGGTCATCAGAACGCATTTATAATGACCTGAAATCAGGCTGACAGCATTGTCTGTCAGTACCCAATGACCTTAGCTGAGGGCTGAGCGTGGCTCAGCTGAACCAGAAAATTTGGTTCCCAGTGCCTCTCCAAGAGGGGAGCCCAGCAGCGTGCCAGAGTGGGTGGCTTCGCCTCCGGGCTGGTGCTGTCTCTTGAGCAGAGGCAGAAACGGGATGCACCTCGCTGGTGGGGATACCGAAGGAACTGCCAGGGCATCCCAGCTGAAGGGGACCTGTCCTCACATGCAGGAACAGACTGAATCAGGTACTGAAATGGGCAGCTGAAGTGGGCTAAGATCCTGGAAATAGCAGGCAAGGAAGGAGGTGGTCCAGAAGTGGGAATGGGCATGGGAAAGATGATGGGAGCAGCTAGTGAAGTCAGGAGGAATTTCTTCCTTTTTTAGAGCATGAGGCTGAAGGTTGTCTGTTGTTAAGTAAATGACAGAGAAAAACACTGGGGGTGCTTATACTTAATGCAGGGTTATTTCTCAGCTAAACTGCATTTGTGTGTGTTTACACACCAGGCATTCCTTTTAGTGTGGGTTTCCCAGTGTTATAAAGAGCCAACAGTATTTGTGAAGACCCAGCTGCCTGCATCAGGGTTACCACTGACCCAGGTGCTCTGCAGCTTCCCCACGCTTTACATGAGGCAATGAGCTGGGGGAGTGTAAATCACACCTCTCAGTTATACCTAATATGTGATTTCCAGCCACGCAGTGTGTGGGGCAGGAAGGAGACCTTGTCACCTTGCTTCAGGAAGACAGCAGTGAGGGGCACAGGGCGTTGCTGGCATCAAGGAGAGCACAAATTTGAGTCGTGAGGAGGGCTCTTGCTTTTAGTAGTGAAATAAGACTGCTACAGAAGAGCTGGATGTGGCAAAATCTCCACTGTTGGAGTTGCTGCAAACCTGAGTGAAAAGGCAGGGTCTGTGTTGCATCACCTGCAGGAGGACCAAGGGGAGCTTGAATGGGTATGGCTCTTCTGGCTGCACCCCAGGCACAGGCACACGGGGACTTTGGGGAGGCCTGAATCAATGCCAAGGTGCGAGCCTTGGCATTTATCCCCATGTTTCTTATAAACCCAAATGAGATGAGGAAGCCAAGATAAAAAAAACCCTGAACTTTGGGGAAGGCTAGATACAGATGTAGACACTGTGTCTTCGGCATCTCTTGAGCAAGAGCACTTAGACTATTGCAGTGGCCTTAGTGAGAGGAAGAAGCAACATGAATCAGCAAGGGCCTGAAAAGTGATCTGGAGAAACACATCTGTAGGCATTAGGAGCTGGGATTTTATTCACCTTATGGTAGCTATCAGCCTTAAACTTAATGTTGTAGTATATAGACCGAGAGGAGAAGTGGCTTCTGGCAACCTGTGGTACCTCTGTTTAAACAAAGATGTTAGCAAAAAATATCTCCACCTTTCTCCCAGATATTGATTTTTTTTTTCCACACAGCCTTTTCTTCAGTGTGAGAGACAGCTCAGGCTCCAGTGTTGTGCTGGGTTCATGTGCAGACTATCTCCTGTTCTGGCTATGTGGGACATGTGGCCCCACAGCGCCCACAGCCCAGTGGGATGATAACACTAGCTTGGAGGCACTGGTCTGCCTTGGAGCAGGAGTTTGGAGGACTCCCCTGACCTGGACCAGGATGGGTGGATAGGCATGGAGCAACAAAGCCATTTGCAAGGAGAGTTAGAGCCATGTGAAGTCAACAGAAGATTTTCTGAGGTTCAAAAACCTTCTGCAGATGCCTGGTTGAGGTGGAAGACTGACATTTATGCTACAGCACTATGGCCGGGGTGGTTTCTCTTAAGTTTTGAATACTGCGATTTGCCTCAGTGAAATCCAGGAGCGCAAAGCAAAAGAGTCCATACGGGATTGACACAAAGGAAATATTTGCCTTCAATCTTTGGCAAATTGTGCACCTCTTTTCAGAGCTCCATCCCAGCCACTAAATAAAACCCCAGGCACGCCTGCCTGGGAGATGACGCTTAAGAGAAGCTTCAGTTCTGAGTCTGGTGGATGCAAAGCATCCAACTGAGTTTGAAATGGTGAATTCTTCACCCAAGCCTTGACCTGTTGTGTTTGGTCCTTGGAGTAATGGGGAGGAGGAGTACGTTCTCTAGTAGTGAGGGATGGGCTGGCTCAAAGGTGGTTTTGGTGAAGCCAAAGACCAAGTTTAGGATGGGAGGACAGCGGGATGGATTAGATTTTAGAAAATGTCATCTTGGAAGCTTCTTTGGTTTCACCTGTCTTCCCTTGCCTCCTTCAGAAACACCAAGCGCACAGCAGAGGTGTGGATGGACGAATTCAAGCAGTACTACTACGCGGCTCGTCCCGCAGCCCAAGGGAGGCCTTATGGAAAGTAAGTGTCTTTCTCCTGCCTGTGCCCTGCCTGCTGCAGTGGGTGTTCATGGTGACATCGCCCTGCTGCAGAAACCCACCTGCGTTGTTTCTGTAGTAACGTTCAATTAAATGCTAATGGTAGGCAGATGCTATGAGCACAGCAATGAAACATGTAAGCAGCTAGTTTGTATGCTGTGCTAGTTTATCCCAGTGAGTGAACTGAATCCAGGTGGGGGAACACTCCCTCTGCCCATGTCCTGCCCTTGGCATTAGGTACAAGTACTTCTGGTCTCAGAGCGGAGTTTGGCAGGGAGAGTCCAGAGGTCTCGCTGGCAGCTGAGGGGCAGGAAAATCATCGAATTTTGCTGAGGCTTTATTGGAAAGGAGCAAGTGCTTTGTATGCAGGGAGTTTGCCACTCATCCTGTGAACAGTTGGAAACACCTCCCTGTCAGGAGGACTGTAAGTATTTGTGTTAATTTCTCATTTTCATATGCTCTTCCTTCCCTTAGAAAGTTTCCTTTGGACCACAGGGGGTTCCAAATAAAACTCAAATTCCTTGTGGCTACTCTTCAATCTCCAGGATAAATAAATTGAAGTCCTGGTGACTAACCTATTTCCACTGAATTCATATCCTCTTCTCATCCATCAGCACTGAATGAAGTAACAGCTCTGTCTTGCTAAATATATGAGGGTGTAGAGAAGATAGCCCATGCAAAGGGAAGGTACTAGAGGCTTCCTACTGCTCTGTAAATGCCAGCTCCTAACAGCTCCATGGGTAGAGGCTGGCCCAGGGAGGAGCTGGAGTTTGGAAAATGTCACTATACAGCATGATCCCTCAGCAGAAATTTTGCCCTGGTTAATGAAAGAAAGAAGTATTTCACTGTGTGATTAACTGCTGCTGACTTAAAGGCATGTTTAGTTGCTCTTGGAAATCAAGGCCTTCTGTAGTCCTGTAAACTAAGAGTAACTGATAATAGCATATATTAATTTCCTAGTACATTAATATATTAAATTAATGCTTATTGCAAATTGTAGATAGCATACATTATTTTAATAACCATTTTTAAATGACTGTACTTTTCCATGAACAATTTCATCCACCAAACTCCAGGCTTCTTGTTAAAATGGCGATATGTCATCATGCCATTTTACCAAGTGAGACTTCCAAAGAGACAGAGATCCAAATGACCACCCAAGCTTGTGCTGAAGAGAGCAGAAAATAGAGCTGCTGGTTCTCTTGTGTTTGCTGTCTGTGCATATCTGTTAGGTTTCTCTGAGCCTCCTTTTTTGGTGCATTGCATCTCACCTTCATGATTTCCATTGTATCTCTACGATATTTTCTTCCCACAGCATCCAGAGCAGAGTGGAGCTGCGGAAGAGGTTGAAATGCCACAGCTTCAAGTGGTACCTCGAAAATGTTTATCCTGAACTTCGGTATGGATGTGCGATCTTCACCTGTCCCTAGCAGGCCAGCGGGATGCCCCGTCCCTCCTGCCCCACAGACCTTTCCTCCGCACCTCCAGTCCCCACACTTGCCCCTGTCCCAGCGACACAGGCATCCCCTCCCTTGGGCTTCACAGAAGGGTATAGTGAATTTTGTGCTGGCTTTAAACACAGCTTGCTCACAGTGTGACATGGTTCATTTGTGATCCTGCTTTCTCTAAGCAGTCTTATAGACTCTGTGGCTCTTTGCTGCAGGGCTGGTGAGGGGCAAAGTACCAGTTATTTCTCTTAGGGCTTCCTCAGGTATCCTCCTGCCCATGCGGTGGGACAGGTGGTATAGGGAAATAGCCAGTTTTCCTGACAAAAGTATGGTGAAAAAGCCACTGTAGCCTCTGGTGGGTTCTTTCAGTACTTAATGACTCTTGCTTAACAGACAAGCACCTCATTTCCAGTCCTTTCACACTGTTCTGTGATACTTAAGACTTCTTTGTTGTGAAACCATCTACTGTAGGTGTTTATGACCTGTGTTCAGGTGGCTCTGCCTTACTCCTAGCCTAATGCTTTGCTTAATATGCACTTCCAGAGTTGCTTTTATACAGATACCTTTTAGTCACCAAAATTACTCCAGAAACCATTGCATCCATTCCCTTGGTCACTATCAGGAGCCATCCTCAGAAAGGATGCAAAGTTTTGAAGATACCTCCAGTGACCTGCTGGTGCAATGGCTGAGTGCAGAATCACAGGGTGAAGATGATTTATAGCTGTTTTCTTGCTTTTTTGCCATGTGTGGCATTGCACAGCAGCATTCACAGGGAATGCCAGAGCTCTGTGGAGGTTTGTTATAAAGTTCCCCACTCCTGTAAGCTGAAGGCTGACCTTCAGCCTGCTCACAGTCTATTCTTTGCTCCTCTGTTTGCCTTGTGCAGCGTTATTTATTTTTTCCTCTTATAAAGGCCAGCAATCCATCTCTGAGTGCTGCTTCTGCAGTGTCCCTGTCCATGTACTGCTCTCAGTGATTCAGTATTGTGTAATAGATCTTGCCACTCTCATCTTCTGAAGGTGAAATGGTGCGACTGCACCCTCCTTACCCCACACTAAGCCTCCCTCCGAGTGCTCTGTGTGCCTGTAGGAGTAGGGATGTTGTTTTCATGCTGTTCCCACAGGATTCCTGAGGAATTGCTCTATCAGACGGGGATGATCAGGCAAAGGCAGAGCTGCCTGGAGTCGCACAAGTCTGAAGCCCAAGAGTTCCCCATCCTGAGCTTAAGTCCTTGCATCAGCAGCAAAGGCACAGCAGCAACAGCACAGGTAAGATGTGTTGCCTATCCCCGTGATGCCGGCTGAAGAGCCGGTTCCGGGGAAGCTTCAAGGTGATTTCCTAAGTTTGCTAAAGCTCTGTTGGAGGATTACCCGTTCTGCCAGCCCCTTTCCTAAGGCAGCACGTAGTTAAACCCTGGTAAGTCCTCCTTACCTCCGGGGAGGCCCTGGGCAGCAGCAGGGACTGGTGCAGGAGCCACAGTCCAGGGCAGAGCGCTTCTCTCTGTGCTAGCCTGCGCTGAGCACTTACTGCTGCTCAGGAACGCCACGCGCCGTTCATCTGCAGAGATCAGAGAAAGACAGAGAACTATAATTTCCTCTCATCTTCCAGCATTTCTTTCAAAATGCACTGAATCGCAATGGTATTTATAACTTCATAGTCTGCATTCTCTCAGTATTAGATTCCCCATTAAACTAGTGAGAATTTAATGAGGATGATCTCGTTTTTTTCAATCTCACTGAGACGAGAAAAAGCCATATGAATCCGTGTTCTCAAAAGCATATTCTATGAAATGTTAGAGCCAAGAGCAGCCATGTGTGCCTTGCAGTGGAGTTGCTGGAGCAAGACCCTGAAGACACGGCTTCAAAACCTGCCTTTGCTTCAGGCTCCCTTTGTGATTTTGGGCATGTCGGGAAGTTCTGTCACTATTCCCATCTATGAAACAGGGAGGATAACAATCACTCGCTTCTTTGGGGTGCCGTGAAATAATTTAATAGGCAATGGCATGCTTGCTTCCACTTGACTGTACATCCTTAACCCTCATGGTTACACATTCAAACCAGGTAGCTATGCATATAAAAGGCCCAGCCTGGAGATGCTGCTGAAAACATCCCTAGTTTGTATGTGCAAATGAAGCATGTCATTATGTGCATCTCTTTCACATGCAGTTGCATGCCTGCCTTTAGTCAGGAAAATAATATCTGCTTCACGGTCTGGTAAAATCAGCAATGACTACTTGAATTCTAGTCAGTTCAGAAAATACAGCGAATATAACTGCAAGTACCACATAGTTACAGTTCTTATGGTTTAATTGGTTTCCAGGTTTTAGAGTTCTTTTTCTTTCTTCCACTGCTACATGGACTTTTTACACAAACAGCAAGAGAAGTGAGATGATGAGAGCAGATCATAATGTTTTGCAGGGTCAAGTCTGCTGAAGGAAAAAAAAAATGCTTTAGTGGCAATTGCAATTTTCAATTAATTGGATGTTTTTAAAAAAATCTGGGAAAATCAGAATGGGAAATGCTGCTGCAAGCTCGCATTTCAAAATGAAATGGCATCAGTCTTTCTGAAATATCAATTTGATGTGATATTTTAAAATGAGAAATGTCATGCCGACAAGTTGGATTGTTTCATTCCCATCAAACACATTTTGTTTTGACATTTCTGTGGAGTAAATTTGGGGAATTTTTCGTGCCACAAACTTTTCATCTTCCTATTCTGATTCTGCAGCAGTTTGCAATGGGTCAGCACTTCCCACTGGATGGCAACTCCATTTCTTGTGCACATCCAGGACTAACTCTGCAGGGGAACAGAAAAATGCACTACAAACAGATTGCTGAATAGCTACACTCAATGCACAGGCAGGAATAGAGAAAAACCTTTTCCTTTTATCTTTATCTGTCTTTCTAGGATAGTTCTCTGTTACTTGTACCCATGGAGAATATTTCAGATGAAAGCAGGCTATTTAAATTTTCATTGTGAATAGAAACTTGTATTTTAATTACACAATTGTTACAAGACCACCTGAACTTGTGGATGATGTGGGGGTTATAGTCACCAGGCTGTGTAGGATAGATTATGCAGCAGTCCTGAATGCTATGTAGCCTCGTATTTAGTATACCAGAATAGAGCAATAATCTTCACTTTTAATGTACTGAAGTCACATCTTGTTTACCCTAAGCTTCATTATTTGAAAAACAGGCTTAGCTAAATCAAAGCTGTGCTTTTCTGGCATTCAATAAGTACTATGGAAATATCCTGACTATCCAGATCCTTTATGATCCAGTGTTAGTAGCATTAATTTGGTTGCTTGATTGCCCTTCTGTAGCTGTCTCCCTGCTAGACTCCCCAAGCCCAACATTACATGCATGAAGTCCTGGGACCAAGTGTGAGAAGATCCGAGCTGTCATACATCACCATGGTTTGAGGACTGAGGAACAGGAGCTGTCAGGTGGCAATCAATTGCTCTTTAGTTTTTTCTATCTGTAGTGCAGGGGAAGGCTATTGTGAGCTCTCTGGCCGCATCCATAGTTTGGGTAAATAGAGAAGAATACTCTGACTGCGGTGAAATCAGATTTACAGCCCTAGCACATCTCACAAACCCTCCCTGGTGGTGTCTGGTGTTAGTCCTGAATTACTAAAAGGGGCACTGAGGCACAAGATGACCCCTCATCTTTGTGTAGGAGAGCTCCTCCCTGGGATCCACTTGCCCCTTCTATCTCCAGAAGGTCTGGTAGCAGTCAGAACAGGCTCTGTCCGCTGGGGTGGCTTTCAGAGGGACCTGCTCTTGAGATAGTGACTGGCAGAGATCTTTATGCAGTGCTGCCCATCCCCAGGGCACAGTGGGCTCTGCCCACTGGAGCCTTGGTACTCTAGGTCTTGTTGTGTCTCATTTGCTGAATGAACCGATTGATTTAATTTTTCACAAGGGAAATGCATCTGAGAGAAGATAATTGATCATAATTTTGCCCTGGTCTATCTGATGAAGATGTGAGTGATTGCTTTTCTTTTCAAACTAAGTGTCAGTTGATATTAGTACATACATCTTTGGAATAGACATCTGACTCTGGGATTTATTTAATAAACCATTAATCATTAGCAGTTCCATGAAACCTGACATATTCAGATAAAAAAGCAGAAGGCGCTTTGGCCCGGTATTCACATATGTAAGCAGTAGCTGCAAGATGAGTGTAAAGTTAGTCATCTCCTAGACAGGTGAAGAAATACTGGGAAAGTTGCAGCATCCGTTTCCCTGGCCTGCACCCCAAAATATCTGGCCTGCACCCAAAAATATCTGGGCTTTGGAGCTGAATGGCTGCCATTGCATTTGGGTGGCGTGTCCTTGACTCTCATTGTGAAGGAAATGCAATGTGATAATCTGCCTGTTGTGACACTGAAGCCTACCCCAGTTGGCTGGAGGACCTCCGTGGGCTGACTAGATCTGCACTTTCTTTGGAGAACGTTTAGCATCTATCCAAACTAACCTGACAGTGTCCCTCCTGAGATACCTCAACCACAAAAATTCACTTCTGACCTTCCTCCCCTCCAAAGTCTTCGTTCTCCTCCTCCATGGGCACGTCCTGCCCCAGCTGTAGCCCGACTGGAGCTGCGGGAGCTGGGCTGAGCCGGCAGAGAAGAGGAGCTGGCTGGCAGCAGTGTCACCTCTGCACCTGGGCTGCCATGGGCATCTTCTGTACTTTGCTTTCCCTCTCCTGAGATGTACGTAAGTGCTAGTTGCATCCCAGGGCCTTTTGACGAGTGAAGCACTTTGGTATCCTTAGGTGATCCATGCAGTCGTGTGCCTTGGGAAATCCTTCCCTGTGATTTTAAAAAGATAATTGAGGGCTGAGGTTGTTCCCGGCTTCTTCAGAAATATTTTTCTCTAGCTGCTACCCCAGCTTTAGGGTATGGCGGACCTCTTGCTCGGCAGCAGAGCACGTACAGCTCTGTCATGTAATGCCGGGCTCCCACGGGGCTGCTCCTTGCTAGGCTGAGGGGCTCCTTTCTCCTTCTGCCAGCCAGGCTATGCCAAGCCAAAGGTCACATTTTAAAATAATTTCCTCAATTCACAATGATGCTGAGTAACAGTGACAGGTGCCTGCTCAAATGATGCTAAAGCCTTGAAGAATAGTCGCAAGCCTCAGATGGGGGTTAGTGTTATCCGAGGCTTTGGAGGAAGGGGATTGCTGGTTGTGGTGTGCAACTGGTAGCTCCGGTCTCCCAGTCCACCCACTTCCTCCTTGCTCTGCCACCACTTCATCTTTGTCTTTGGAAAGGCAGGAAGCCTTGATCTCGGTTTCACCTCATATGTCTGTTTTTCCTTGGTGCCAGGGTCACCTCTAAACTGCCAGTCTGCAGCCCTGAAGCCATGTGTAGCTTCTTGAAGGTCTCTCTTTTTAGGAGTACCCTGGGCTGCCCCGTCCACCATAACCTCTGGGGTGTGAAGCTCTGCTGTTGTTACTGCTGTGCTGGCCACGTTGAGTGCTCAGTGTGCCAGGGTTTAGAAGATAAAGTAGTTTCTCATGGGGAAAAAAAGCAGGAATTTTCATCCCACCTGATACAAATAAGGGAAGAGATGGGGTAAGATAAAAATTTGCACGGCCATTTGCCTGTATTTTAACTCAAAGCTTTTCATGGATTCTGTGGTGTTCAAGTGACTTTTCCACCCCCCGGAATTTCTTCATTTTCTGCGTCATTTTCTCTGGCTTTCATCTGGGGCTGAGAAGAGACAAGACATGATTAGAACTGGATAAAACATTTCAACAGGACTAGCTTCCATAAAAAGCCATTCTGCCAAAATAGAAGAGCCATGTGAAAATCTGTCAGTTTAGATAAAGACAGCAGCAGGACAGCCTGGGGGCAGGAGGGGAGGATTCAATGTCAACTATCGAACTGACGCATATATCTAGCTCTGAAGGCCTCACTTCTTATGATGAACGACAGCTTAGCAGAGATGTTTACCACCACCCAGTCTATCCAATGGCACTTTGCTGAATGAGAGGATGGTCCTGCCTTGAGAGGATGTGAATATTGGGAAGGCTTGAACAGAGCCTGGCCTGGAAGAAAAGCATGGAGAACCTCTGGGAGGAGCAGTCCTCCATGAGGTGCCTCAGTGAAGCAAGGAGGTTAAGAGGTCAAAACAAACAAACAAAAAGTCCCATGGCCTGAGTTAGTTGGGGGATTCAACATACACACGAGTTACAGGATTAACTTGCTGCTACTGAAGAGCCTCATAGGTGCAGCTCCAGCACCCTGTCCTGAGCTAAAACGATGAACAATTGGTTAAAAATGTAAAGCAGGTTTTCAAAGCAGCTTGTAGCAGCGTGGGCACCAAGAACAGGTGTTGGAGCTTGCCCCGTAGGGCTTGATTCTTCACAGATGCAGGACTAATTTGGCACCTGATTTCCCAGGCTGGTGGTTTACATGGCAGCTGACAGCGTGCATGGTTCGGATGTCTGGAACGTATTCACTGTAGGATCAGGTAAACGCTGCTCCATCTGACAAAGAAGAAGTAGTTGCCAGAAGGCCCTTTGGGTGCAGACTACAGCTTTGAAAATGAATGCTTGTTATGTGCCGAAACACTGGGCAGCGCTCGCTGCGAAGCCTGTGGGCAAGCTGTTCAGAAAGCCAGGTTTGCTTTCCATTAGCTGGTGGGGAGTAATAAGCTAAGAAGCACAGGGTGTGAGGATCACAGTGTGAAGTCCTTGTGAATCTGGGTCTGCTGTGCAAAAGCCTGTTTTCCCTTCCAGGTGGCTAAGAACCTGAGTGAAGTGGGATTTATATTCCCAGGAACTAAATGCCTGTAGCTGTCTGTTTTGAAGCCGGGGAGAGGAGTTAGAGCTCCTGATGGTGACAAATACCAAAGGGGGGGAAGCGTTTCCCTGCTCTAATAACTCATGCTAATGCAACCCAAAGCCTCCACCATTCAAAGTCAGGGGCAGCTGCAGGCATCCCAGCTCTGAGATCAGGGCAGCCATTCTTCACTTCCCCCTCTGGCACTCAGAAAGGGTTGCAGTCTCCCAGGAGCACCTTTTACCCTTCATTTTTCCAGACCCAGCTTTACTGCCGTATGTTTGAGCACTGCCTTCCCCTCCACTGCCAACACTCCTGCTCTCTTCACTCCTCCCGGAGCTCTGACTCCTCCATATCTGAGCTCTCAACTGTTTTGCTTTCTCTCTGCACCTTTTCTTCCACAGCAGCTTTCCCAGTTCTCATAGCCTGTACCCCATCAAAGCATTTGCCTTCACCTTTGGGCCCTGTTGCAGAAACCCTCTTGCTCCCTGGCCCTGCTCTCTCCAGCATGGTTATCGCCCTCTGCTAGTGAAACCAGCCTGCTGTTTGTCGTCCAGTCCCGCTGACCTGCCCTGCCATGGCTCAGCAACCTGCTTTCCATTTGCTCCCACTGCTGCTCAGAGCGATCAGACTACTATCTCAGAGCGATTTACACAGCAGGAGCTGATCCTGCTTTGCTCCCTAGCTAGAGGGCCTCAGAAACCCCTTCCAGCCCTAATTTTAAAGTTAATACTTGCACAAAGTTATCGGCAAAAAACTTGTTCCAGAAGTCACCCTCTGGAGTTATGTAAAAGCGTGGTTTGCGGTTTCCCGTATGCCAAAGCATCTCTTGTCTGCTTGTGTACACACACAAATAGCAGGAGACATCCCTGCCTGGACAATCTCAGACCCCCAGGAGGTGCTCTTGGGTAATATGAGCACAGGTGAATGATAGAATATGTTCAACTGGAAGAAACATTGGAGCAAACTTCTGTGAAATACTCCTGGGCTAAGCAGTGTATCTGACACGCATGATGCTTTGTCTAGCACATTCTGAAATCCTGGTTAAACTATCAGCTACTTCTCTTTTTCTCCCAAGAAAAACATCCATGGGTGACAAAGAGGGTGATCCCAGAGAGCCCCTGTTTTATGGTAAGCTTTACACAGGACAAAGAGTCTCTGCTCCCCCAAAGACTATTTCTTGGGCTGAGGAGCTGATAAAAAGCAGGTGAACATTAAAAGCAGCATGAGGAAAATCCTTCCAAGCCCAGGGGAGCAGGAATAGTAGTGGTCATAGCAAACCAGTACAGCAAATGTTTGGAGTTTGGTCCCACTCCTTTGATATAAAGGGGAGCTTTATCCCTGATTTTTGTTGTGTTTAGGAACAGAATCCTGGGGATTGCAAACATTTGCTATATATCACCTTCTTTCTCCCGCTGCCAGCTGCAAAGCATTTCTGCTGTTCTTCCTCTCAAAAAGAGGATTGCACATTGTGTGTAGTATTTCTGCCTCTCTTTTGCCATTTTTCCATCCCCCTGTTCCCCAACCACAGCCCAGTTCAGGCTAGGAAATCCTTTGCCTCATGAACCATTTTCTTCCAGCAGCTTTTGTAGATGTTTTCTTTGGTACATGCAGTCCCCCAATGACAGCTGCAGTTTTGGGGAGGCTTGAAACATCCTAGTGACCTGTCCTGGTGCCTCTTGAAGTCAGTGAGGTTTGTGCTTGGTTTCAGAGGGGGCAGGATCCAAGCCAAAGTGTTTGCTTTCCAGGTGGAATACCAAGAATCAACCCTGATCTCTCACCTCCCTTGTTTTTCTTCCTCTTTGCAGGAATGGACATACACATACAACCACCAAGTCCGCCAGCAGCAGCTGTGCTTGTCTGTGTACACCCTTTTTCCTGGTTCCCAGGTGCTGCTGTCACCTTGCAAAGAAGGTGATAACAAGCAGGTGAGCCCTGTGATTGATCCCCCGTTTTCTTTGAAGTTCTCTTTCTTTCAGCATAGTACTACTGCGCATCAAATCGCCCATGTGCTCTGACTTCCTCTGGGAAGCACAGTCTATCTGGGAGTACAGACTCTGGCCTGTTCAGCCCTTTGCCTCTTAAATGAGTGTGTTGATAAGGATGTCTATTAGTGCGGGTGGTGATCTGGATACTTATCTGCAGAAGTCAAACCAAAACTGGCAATTTAGTTCACACGGGCTGCCAGTCAGCCAGCAGATGTTAACATTTCTCTGCAGTTAATCATCGAGCTGGCATTTGAACCAGTGACCTGGGGAAAAAGCTGTTAGTAATATATTATCTTCCTGAAGCCAGGCAGAGGCTGAGCTTAAATGAGTGTGCTTCTGATGGGAGAAATGCTCAGCGTGTGCTCTGCTCAGAGTGGGTTTGGGGACCCTGTACTTCCCAGCATCAGGCCACAAAGGCTTAGTGACCGCTGTCCTCTTGATGCTGGAACAGTATAGTAAAAGCATAATGAGGAGGAAGCTTGTTCACCCCTGTTTCTCCTCTTGTGTGTGTCTCTCCTCAGCGATGGGGTAAAGTTGGGTCACACATTGAACACATAGCTTCACGCTTCTGTTTGGACACTGAGATGATTGGAGACACGAATGAGAGTACCAAAGAGCTTGTCATCAACCCTTGTGAGAGCACAGCCATGAGCCAGCGCTGGGACATGGTGATGTCTTGACCCGCTGGAGGACCTACACAGCGGGGATGGGCACTGAGACCTTGCTACATGCAGCCAAGATGCACCAGATGGAGCTCAAATGCAAAACCTTTGGGGGTCCTTGTGTACTACAGGAAAGAAGAAGAATCATTCAAATAAAAATAAGGACATGGCGCTCCAGGTTGAACAATGGGTGTTGTCTGCAAGACATGCAGCTGGTATTAGCCTGTTGGCATTCATACATTCAAAGAGAAGGGATGGCAAAACACCAGACTTGAAATGTTTTAGAGGGATAATGGGGTTCCTGTGATGGGCCCTACAGAAGTTCAGTGTGCACAGTATTGATTAATCTCTCTGGAAGAGCCTTGGAGACCAAAAGGAGACTTGGACTCAGCAAAACAAACATCTCAATAGCTTCTGGGGGGTGAGGCAGGTGCGCAAGGAGGGATGTGCCAAGGGATGCTAAGAAACATCGCCTGGGATCAAGTGGAAAACACTGAATTATCTTTGCACTTTTCATTGCTGCGGATGAATTTGTCTTCTGCAGACAGCATGGGTAGAGCTGTGTTGCACGTTCGAATTTGTATCTGATCCACGTACATGTTGTGTATACAGAGGCAGGGCAGTCATTTCTGGCTGTGGCCAGGATCAAACCAGCAAGTAATGGGGGAATCCTGCTCTGTGCTAACTGCACACAGGGGTTGTTGAATCCCCAAAGCCCAGGCAAACAGAGGATTCAGTGTGTGAGATTAAAGGATATAAAGTGCTGTGAAGCTGGGAGGAAAGGCAGTAACATGATCATTTTTCCTCTCTGAAGGTCATGGGTGAGCCTTGGTGACTGAAAACTCCCCTATAATCTCACTGTGTGTCTCTCACTGCTTCAGATCTGGAATAAGTCAAATTTTCACTTTTCTTCCATAAAAGTAATATTTTTGGTAATTGAAGTTAATTGTGTCATATTTCTGTTTCCCAATTTCCCAACTACAGAAGAGGGGACTCCCATGAAGTGCTGCTACTGAAGGAACGGAGGAGGTAATTAAAACTAGAGACTGCTCTGAGAAAGGAAAAGGGATATTACCTGGGTTTGATTCCCAGGTATCTTGTAGCCCAAGACGCGGAGTACTGAAGAAAAGGTTTGGGATTCCCCCAGTCACACCTGTGAGCAGGGAACCCTGGGTCACAAAGTACCTCTCTCCCAAAGTCATTTAGCATAGACAGACTTGACAGAAAAGATTTCTTCAGCTTTTGGAGATAAGTCATTAACGAGAGATCATGTCAGGTGCTATCACTATGTGGGAGTGAGGTGACTGCCAAAGGAGAATAGGACAGAAGACCTCAGAAGAGATCTTAGGAAGAGAAGACGGGAAGGTCCTTCCCAGCCTGTCCTTCAGAGCAGCTCCCACTACAGCAACAGGTAACAGGCAGTGAATCACTCAGAGCTGTGCACGCAGCTCTTGTGTAGTAACAACTCTCAGAGAGAACTTTTGCAGGACTGTCAATGTGACTTGGAAAAAAAATACAGTCTGTGTCTCTAAAAATGCTAGGGTTTAATGAAAATCCTATCCTTTGTTTCCTGTGCTGCAAACTATAGGTAAAATAGCATAAGCTTTGAGCATTCAAGTGCTCTCAGCATCCCTTCTTGAATAAATTGCTGGCTTTCAGGATTTTACAGCCTCAGTTTCTCCTCCCTCAGTGCTGGGAGAAAGCCATACGTGTAAATCTCCCTTGGCTTTAGAGGCAGGACCAATATAACTCTTTATGTACAAAAGATCATGGTATAAATGCTTTCTGTGTGCTACAGTGATTACTAACCTCATCAAGCTCCCTTGGTGCAAACCTCAAGGGCTTCTGTTATGAAAGGGCTGGAGCAAGCTGTCATTTCATGGTGGGAGATGGCATTGTTTCCATGTCACCCCTTTGCAAAGGAAACAAAGGGAACCACTTAAAATGGAATGGACCCATTTCACAAAGAAGAGTAGTGACCTTGGGCTCCTTCTATCACACCTACTTTTCACACCAGTGATGACAGGCAAGTGGTAGTAATTCCCTGTCTAGTGCTTACAAGGGAAAGCAGCTCCCAAGAGCTTGAAGCTTAACGTGTTCACAACTGTACTGTGCCTACAGCCTGGGACTGCCCAGCTGCTGGCACTTCAATTCTGAAAAATCAGAGGGACGAACAACTTGCCATCCGTTTTGAAGTCCAGCAACTGGCAGGTACGCTCTGAGCAGGACCTCAGACCTGTCTAGCTTTATTATTTTCCACCAAAGCTGAAAATATCCATTCCACTAACAGCCAAAACTCTCTAAACAGGTAATGCTTTTCTTTGCCTTAGCAGAAACAGCTACCTCGCTATACGTGTGTGTGCTTGAGCACATGGACCCATGGGACCTGCAGGGATGTATTCCAGGAAGAAGTTGTTTGACCAGCTTTTCAGCTCTCTTGCCTTTTGTGAAAACCAAATGCTGTATCAAGCCCCTCGGTTCCAGAGCAAGGGCTAAGATGATCACTGTAAACTTTTGGGGGGCGGTGGAAGGCAGGCAGTGGGGAGGGTGACATCAGGCATGGTGTCCCCTACCAGAGAGTAGCATCGTTCAGCTAAGTCTCTTGCAGGCCCAAAAGCCACCAAGTACCCAACAGACCTGGGGAGCAGCAGCCACTTGGCAAACTGGTGGTTGTGCCTCACGCATCCATTGGCTGTAATCCTTAGACTACAGCTTGTTTCGTGGTCCAAGAAATGAGATTAGACCTATGGATCAGCAATGTTTTCAGAGAAGCCTGAAGTTATCAGCCTGACTCCTTGGAAGCTTCATATAAGCAGGCAACGGACTGTCAGTCTCTAGAATTAGCCCCAATATGGCATTTAGCAAATCTTCTGCTTACCGTCCCTGCAAAGAGACCTTGCATCGTGTCAGGGGAAAGGTTAACTGCTGCTGAAATCCAGCTCATACCTTTAGGTTTATTTCACTTATTAAAATACACTGGAGACAGATGAACCTTTTTTGCTTTGTTACTTGCCTAGACTGTTTTTATCATGCTGTGAACAGAGATACACATGACATTGGTAGGTGTATCTAGATGGGCTCCTATGCCTATACCTCTTAAGCTCCTAATGTCACTTGGTAGTAATGCTTTTTGGTAACATTTTGCACTGACTTGAAAGAACAGAAGATAAAGTAGAAAATATGGTTCTAATCCTGGCTGTTGAGCTTTGTGACAGCCTTTATGGTCTCCAGGTAAGTCACTTCTTGTGCCTTGGGAAAATTAGATTCAGAGCAGGAAACTCAGGGCTAGAACTACTACTGCCTTTTAAAGAGCCAACCAAGGCTATGCAAAAAAAAACCCCAAACAAACACAAAAGCACCTTAGCCTTCCCCTTCCCTCCCAAAGGAGAGCAGTGTTCCAGTGAGAACAAATCTATCTGGTTTTAGTTGGGCTGGGGAAGCCTTACAGTCCCTACCTTGCTGCTTACATCATTTCCAGGTTATTTTGTGCTCCTCCTCTCTCTGTACCAGCACAGTACCATAAGATAACACAAAGCATCAATGCTTGGAACCTCAGTTTACAATACGCCAATGTAGTAATTTAGTAGTAAAGAGATGGAAACTGAATTCAAAGATTTTGATTATCCAGTGATGCAATAGGAAAATGGGGCTGGTGGATGAAGACTTGGAGGACTGTGGTTCAACACAGGCAACAGCCCTGAGTGCTAATCCCTTCTGCTTCTAGGAGTGACTTGGGATAGCTTACTTCATTTCCCTGCCTCAGTTTCCCAAACTTTTAGTGAAGACTGGGTATTTTGAACAGAGAGAAAGCCAAGTATTAGTTTTTGTTGCATGCAATACCAGCAGTACTGGACTGGCAATGGACTGGCAGTCTCTGGAGTTAGCTCCATGGACCCTTATTATCTGTCTGTACAGGGTCTGGTTCGGATGGAGTTAAATTTCCTCATAGCAGCCTGTATGGTGCTGTGTTTTAGACTGGTGACCAAAACGGCAATAACACACACAAATGTTTTAGTTACTGCTGTGCTTGCACAGTGTCAAGGCCTTCTTCATCTCTCACTCTGCTGCCCCAGGAGGTATGGTAGGGTTGGGCAAGAGATTGGGAGGGAACACAGCTGGGACAGCTGACCCAAACTGACCAAAGAGATATCTCATACCATATAATGTCACACTCAGCAGTAAAACTGGGGGGGAAGTTTTTCCACAGTAGGTGTTGCTCAGAGGCTGGCTGGGCATCAGTCTGCAGGTGGTGACTGACTGCCTTTGCATACTTTGTGGTTTTTTTTTTCCTTTCCTTTTCCTTCACTTATTAAACTGTCTTTATCTTGACCCACAAGTTTTTCTCACTTTTGCCCTTCTGATTCTTTCCCCCATCCCGTTTGGTGGGGAGTGAATGAGTGACTGGGTAGGGGCTTAGCTGCCAACCAGGGTCAACCCACCACACTGCCCTAAGCAAACCAGGGTCCATAGTGTAACAGGCTAGTATTCTTCATGGCTTGGACTCTGATCACAACTGTGCAATAGGATCTGTGCTGCTCATATTTCAGATCTTAAAAGCTTTAGTGAAAGGCTATGGGCTAGAATTGTTTGTAGAAATGGTAAAGGAAGCAAAATCAAGGAGATTACACACAAGCAGCAGAAGAAACTGTAGCTCGTTAATGTTCTGGCTAAATTAATTTTGAATGATCAGTTCAGCTCCAACTTTAATATTATGCATCTGCTTTAGATGGCTGAAGAGTTTAAGGAAGCCTGGTATGGCTGTCCAGCTTACATTGAGACAAGGGCTGAAATCCAGTGGAATTATTCCGGATTTATAGGTGTTTTCCATATGTCCACTGTTCTGTTACTCACTGGAAGTGCCTTCAGAACCCTGTAAGAATAAAAACCTGTTACAAGCCACTACCTCTCCAATGAGTCTAATTAAGTTTTGAGTTGAGCTGCATTTTAGCTTAGAGCTGACGAAAAGCGACATATAAATTTGCAGGTAAGAATGCTGCTTTTGTGGTGTAGGGGGCTGT